AGCCTCCTGTAGTATGTACCTCAATGCCCGCGCGTGCGTGTGTCAGCCGGCCCCGGCGTTTGTGCCGCCGGCGCCGCACACACGCCGAGCGGTGACTGGACGAAGCTGCGACCCGCGCCGAGTATTTCGGGCGCGGTCGTGACGTCATCGGGGGCGCGAGTGTTTGCACAGTTCGATCGCCTTGGGAGACCCAGATTAGCCCCGCAGCTTGGTTTAAACGCGCTGCTTTATTTATATCGATCGTTACAATGGCCTATTCAGAACCTCTTCGGCCTCCGACCACCTGCCTCGGCCTATGCGGCTCTTAAATCTAGTCAAGTATACTAAACGACCTTCCTCATAAACTACCTTCTAAACGGGGTAGATTGTGCAGATGGTATTGGGATTTTAAGCCATTTATTTTAAGGGCAGAATCAGGCATGTTTACTTCCTCGTATCCTTTCCTCCTCGCCCTTTTCCCTCCTCAGACCTTTTCGTCGTGGAGTTCGTCCTAGTGGACCCCCTGTCTGCGCCCATTGCAAAAGGAATTTTGACGGGGGGCTTGCCGAAACAGTGTCACACTCGAGTCACACTGAACGTGATCCACGCTTTCGTCCCGTGTACACGCAGTACATGCATCGAATCCAGTCCATGGATCACGCTCGAGACGCGCTTTGCGCTGTCGAGCCTGGGTCTCTGACCAGGAGCGTAGTTTCCTATCAAGTTTGGGCTCTAACGCCTTGAATTTTGAAAAGGAAGTGGGCGACATCTTTCCGGACATCATCCCGGAAAAGACCATTCTTTGGGTGCTTCGGTGGCAGGTTTAGCTATTTCACTGCCTCCCTTCTCCAACTCTCTGACAGCGAACACCTGCGCCACTGATCGCCAGCGGTGTGCGCGTCAGACGCGTGGGCTGCCATTGGCTGGGGGCGGCGGCCCGTGGCCTCCCACCGCGCCACGCCGGGCCTCCTGTGGGTGTTGGCGCCGGCTCCGACAGGGGCGCGCCTGGCCGCCGCGCCGCATGCCCAGACGACGGTTCATCTGACGTCACGTCCGCCGCGATCGCAGCCAGTCGTCTGCCAGTTCCGGGCATCGCTTTGTCAATGGTGGCGCAGCGCCGCGCCGGCTCGGGCGGCGGGATCGGCGTGCGCGCCCCGGGGCTGTAGTACGGCGGCGGAAGCCTGCCAGTCCATGCGTGGACACGAGCTCGACTTCCATCTGACACGTGGTTGCGTGTGCCGTCGGCCGAGCCCCCAGCCGGATTTCTCAGCGCGCACCTCACCGCAAAACTCGTTTGCTGGAACATAGGCCACGCGGCTCGCTGTGACGGGCAGAAGTTATCCAGAGCACAGTCCTTAGATCGTTAAAGTAGTGGCGTGTGATGATTTGAATTCAGTCACAGATACAAGCAGAACAAGCTTAAAATTTGTGCGCTTAAGCTAGAATTGCGACTACAAATTACGTGTGTGCCACATGGATACTGAACCCCCAGCCAAAACTGCTTTTAGGGCGAACAACTGATCGTGGCGCACTACACGTAGGACACGTGAGCGCCCGCAAGGCTCGAGTTTGGCAGCTGTGGGATTCCGGAATGTGCGTGGTGATGCCATCTCATGCGCCTGCTCCAAGTGGCACGCAGTAGGCTCGTTGCCAGCTTACTGCCGCCGGATCCGCGGAGGCGGGTGCCAAAAGGCGGCACCACTGCCAGCCCTCCTCTGGCACCATTGTGCGTGCCCGGCGACCCCATGTGACGCCCTGGCGGCGGGATGCTGAGATGTGCTGGCGTGGCTGCGGCCAAAATGCTGCCAAATGGCTGGGATGCAATATTCTAGCGCAGGACACTGGCCTCAGGTATTCTTTGGCGTCGTTACATTGGTCTGGACGGGTCAACGAACTTCAAAAGTCCGTGGCAAGTAAATCCGCATGACAATCGAGGTTAAATCTTGACACCCCCCACCTCCCCCCCCCCCGTTTACCCCCATCTTTCGGTAGTCGTTGCTTCGTGTAGCGGGAACCAGCTGCAGCATCCCACGCCATGCAAGTCATAGACCGCATCAGCGATCAGCGAACCCCCGATCCGCTTCATGCATCCTGCGCTCGTCTCGAGAATTCCATGACCACTTCGATGGTAGACGTGGTCATGTTGGCCACTGGCCTCAGATTTCTCGATACGTGGAAACTAAAATGTTCGGACGACGATGAGAGCTGTTGCATAAATCACACCATGCATAAGTAAACAGGGGCTGGAAGTCCGCCAGGCACTGTCAGTCCAAGAGTCATGCAATCCGTTGGCGGTTAATGATGTCAGTTGTTTAAATAACGAGTGCTTTCCAAAAAAGACTGCTGTTAGTGGGATATGGTTTATGTGGCTCTGGTTGCCACCGCACGAAAACGCTCTAAATATTTATCTGCGGCATCGTCGCTGCTGGATAAGGAGTTAACATAGCTGTAAAAAATCACGTCTGGCTGCAACAAACAGACAACCGTATGGTGTCGTTGAATACATGGACATCTCTCTCTTCTTGTACAAGCAAGGTGCCATTGCTTCATTTGAACACAATGTTCATTTATGTCCGAGGTCTTCGTATATCCATTCTTTTCCGTGATCTTCGGGTGTTGATTTGTGTCCGTTATCGTTGGCGTTTCTTATTTTTGTGATCCGCGGACACTGGTGAACGCCGTCTTCTTTTCTTCCCTTCCCTAAAAAAGCTGTGTCCGCCGCCGGTGGCGTAATCGCACTTTCGTTGCCACGAAGACCCGGTGGGCACTTTGCTTTGGTCCAGTCTGCTCCAGCGCCACTACTTGCGCCGAGGACCCAAACATAGGGCTCGGTCCCAGCGTCACCGGCGGCGGCTACGCCCATGCCGCTGCCGATAGTGCTGCTGCTACGCCCATGTCGCTGCCGATAGTGCTGCTGCTACGCCCATGCCGCTGCCGATAGTGCTGCTGCTAAGCCCATGTCGCTGCTGCTAGTGCTGCTGCTACGCCCATGCCGCTGCCGATAGTGCTGCTGCTACGCCCATGTCGCTGCTGCTAGTGCTGCTGCTACGCCCATGTCGCTGCTGCTAGTGCTGCTGCTACGCCCATGTCGCTGCTGCTAGTGCTGCTGCTACGCCCATGTCGCTGCTGCTAGTGCTGCTGCTACGCCCATGCCGCTGCCGATAGTGCTGCTGCTACGCCCATGTCGCTGCTGCTAGTGCTGCTGCTACGCCCATGCCGCTACTGCTAGTGCTGCTGCTACGCCCATGCCGCTACTGCCAGTGCTGCTGCTACGCCCATGCCGCTGCACCTAGTGCTGCTGCTACGCCCATGTCGCTGCTGCTAGTGCTGCTGCTATGCTCATGCCGCTGCTGGTAGTCCGCCCGCGATCTGCGTTCATCTGAGAGGTCGGCGGCAGGCCTCTGTCGACGGCTGAGCCGGTGGTAACGCGAGCTATGGTCGGCCGCTGGGTCCGCCGCGTCACGTGCGGCTCGGAGGACCGCCGGACCGCCCAGCGAGCTGTCGAGGCCGCCCGGCCAGCCGGGCCCGCCACCACACGTGCGTGGTGATACACCGCCTCGCTTTGGAGGCTAGGCGGGGAGAATCCAGTTGCTTTCTGCAGGAGTGTGGGAAATCCAAACCTCACGCGTCAATGCGTCTGGATTTTGGGCTGAGTGGAATGCGATGCGTTAACGTCTTAGATGTGCGTGCTTGACGGCGATAAAAGGCGACGCTTGCAGTGGGTCCACGACTTTCAGGTTTTGACAATTTCCGGATCCTCCACAAAGTTTGCTTTTCATCTTTAAAATGTATCGCGTTCATCACTGGCCGATCTGCTTCCAGCATGCCCGCAAGGCGTTTAACAGCATGTGATTGCGTTTGCGCTGTAAGCCGAACGCAATCGTGTATGCAACATACCTATCAGAAAATCTAATGTTTAATGCCTTTCGGTTTTTCACGTTCATGGGCCACGGCTCCCAGGCTTTTATTTTCAATTATTATCCTGGTCGACGTCTTCCACAAACAGAGATTGGCGTCTGCATCCGTAGGCTCTATTCACGTCCAGTGTTGACATGAAGGCAAAACCGCTGCATATCGTTACAAAGAGCGCATTGCATTGTTGCATTTTACCATTGCACAGCGTCACTTTAACGAGACGCGGCCCTTCCGGCTGCATCTCCGATTTTGGCCCCGCTGAGTCGCCGTGTCTGGCGGGTGCCATCGATTCTAAATCACGTCCCTGCCGTGGATGTGACCTTTCACGCTGTCAGTGTTTCACCTTATTCATATTGTCTACCCTGTGCTGCGGTCAGTAGCGAGGGGCCTGAGCTAGGCTGATGGCGGCGTTAGCGTGGTGTAGCAGCAAATTGTCCTGTGCGCTGCACCGTATCTGATTCTGTTTGGTTGTCGTTGACGTGTGCCTGATGCATTCATATTTGAGTTACCAAATTGCATTTGCGAGCACTCATCGGCTTATCTATACAATCGTCTCGCTACTCAGTGCCCGTAGTGCATCATAGGGGCTATATGCCACACTATAGTGGTCTTTAGGGTGCTTAATACAAATAAGCAGAAGGTACCTTTTAAGTCTGAATGTCCTTATACTGAAATGTGATTCAATTAGCGCATTGTAGCATTGAGCATGTGCGTAGTAGATTACACAAGCAAATGCACGTCGTGTAACTTGTTAATATCGTCACGGATGTCTCCCCATGTTCAACAGAGAGCTAGCTGTTGGCCTTAGGTTTGCCGAGGAAATCTCAATAATCGATTAGGGGGATCCTCTTTTACGCTCCTGCCGTTTTCGATCGCGAGCGCTTGCTTTTGAGGGTTTCTGCTCAGGCGGAATGAAACAAGGGCAACTATGCATGCACGCTTACAAAATATGCGCACGTCCTTCGCAAGCCCCACCCGTAACCAGAGGTGTTTTGGGACCTTCAAAAACGTGACACACGAAAAGAATCAACATTGCAACTCTGTTCGTATGCCGTACGCTGTTGAATACCCTGCGTCTAAGCGTCCTTCGCATTGTGCCGTTTCAGCTTGCCGCCGCTTCGACGCCAAGAACTGCACCGTCCTGGGGGGCCTCCTCAACTCCACGGGCGCCTGCATATTCCGAGAGCAAGTGGACAACGCCACCTGGCACGTGCTCAACGTCACGTCCAGCAACCGCAAGATGCCCGCCGATGAGTTCTTCCAGTAAGGAGACTGGCTGCCGGGGCTCGCAGACTGGATCCCAAACCACCACCGCGCGCAATCCCCGGCTCCATGGCCGACGGGCGGCCCCAATGATTGCGGTCCTCGCGCGCCGGCTGGGTGGTGCAGCGGGATCCGGCTCCTCCGTGTCGGTCTCCCGTCGCCAGTGTCGGCCCCTGTCGGAAGCCATCACCGCCTCGGCTGTGCCCGCTGGGCTCAATATCCCTTCCCGACGCTCATCCGCCGCCTGTGACGCAGGCACTCCTACCGGAGGCGGGCCGGCGCGTGGTTTATTGATGCCGCTGACGTCGGCGCCGCCACCTCCCCTCCCCGCCGCCTCCTCCCACGCTGGTCTGAAGCGGGCCGTGCCAGCCGCCGCCGCGCCGCCGGCCGGCAGCCGGCGGTGTGCCGCGGCGGGAGCGACGCTCCGTGTGGGCGGACGACGGCGCCGCGGTCGCCGATGACGGCCGCTGCCGTGTGTTGGCGTGACGCGTCGCGCCCGTGCCGTGCATCCGGATGTCCGACGGTAAGTGATCAGCGGCCGGCGCGGGCGCTCGGCGCTCGACCGGGTCGCCTGGCGCGTGCTGGTGCCCGCGCAGCGCGCGTGCCGTCTCCCGCGCCCGCGGCCCGTGGGAGGGGTGGGGACGGACGCCGCCCAGGCCCGCCTCATCGGATCTCGGGGCCCGAGTGAGCGCGGAGGGGTCCCATTGCTGCACCTGTGGAGGTAGGGGTCGCATGGCTGCAGACCCTGTGCCGCGGTGATGACCTTCAGATGATAACCTTCATGCCGTGTGATAATGTGGCTGATGACTCGGATCGCCCACTCGCCGTCGCTGTGATGAGCTCCACGTGTTCGTCCGGAGAAGCAGTCCGCCGTTCGGCCGGCTGTCAGTCTGTTATTGAAACGATGGGAGTGCTGAGGACTCCTAGATGTGTTTGTAATGCGTGATCCCCGCTCAAAATGTCAGTTCTCTTCCTTTCTGTATTCTCTTGGCAAATCACCAATTACTTTATTTTTCACGGTATGCAAAAATGGGTTTGGTTCTTATCACTTCCAACGTCTCGGCTTAAAGGGAATTAAAAACAAAAATGGAAGGGAATTCGCATACTTACAATGGTTTAGTCTGAGGGGAACGATGGGAAACATAACTGTTGCGCAATGATGTCATTGATGACGCTAAAATACCATTCCCAGAGATCGAATGCACTCAGTCCTGAGTTGGGTTCGCTGTGGCTTTACGTTTCTTTTCTATTATGCATGACAACGCCAGTCGTGGCGTCACCTGCAGACGGTGAAGTGGCACCCGGTACACCACATCGCAGCATATTTGCAGCAGGAGGTGCCATTCAGACATGGCGTTGTCTGCTGAATGGCCAGCGATAGCGCCATTCAGGGCAATTCGTGGCAGGAAAATTTGAATATTTAGACGGCAGCACGTGACTCGCCAGTGAAATCCAAGCACCGCCTGATCCGGTGATGACGTGTGCAGTACGACACGAATGGGCCAAATTTTCTAATTATTGTCTGTTCTTAGCACTTATTGTCGAGAGCGGGGTGCAGAACAATTACCACCGTAAGCCATTCGTTGTTATTTACGTTCTTTTTTCCACCCACGGAGGTCAAAAGACTATGACTTAATGTGGGATTTTTCTGGCGTAGACGTAACGAAGATGCACCCTACCAGCCGCTGCTTTAGCAAACCAACCTAATCAAAAATGCAACGGCGTGAACCATGGCGTCAAACCGCAACTATTTATATAGATAGGACATTGGTGCCTTATTCCTCGTCGAATAGCAGGAGGAAAGGAGACCCAGATCGACGATAGATTCTGAACGAAGCTTTTTTATTCATCATGGCGCTCGTTGACGTCGTAGCGTCCACCGACGCCGGAGGGCGTCACGGCCTCCCCACACCTCTGAACCAGCGCGGTAAACGTGTCCTGACTCCTTGTCTGCACCGGCGCTCCTCTGGGTCGGCCATCGACCGACGCGACCTGTCGCCCCGATCCATTACCGCCCCCGGCAGCGATGCAGCAGCCGCGCAGGCCGCCAGCCATTACGGCGCGCCGCCTGGCACCGAGCGCGCTCCTTTCAGCCGTCCCGCTGCGGCGCCGCATTCACTCGGCGCGCCCTGCGTCACCGCATTGTCCACGGTCCGTGAATAACGTCACACCGCGCGCGGGGCCGTGACGGCGCCGACTGTAGGTGTGACGTCACCGATGTTGTGCGGCAGCAACTTCATGCTGGACATCACGGAGGGCATCCACGACCACGGCGAGATGAAGTGGAGGCTCATACTCTGCCTGCTGGCCGCCTGGACGCTGGTCTTCCTGGCGCTGCTCAAGGGGGTGCAAAGCTTCGGAAAGGTGACGGAGCGGGGAGGAGAGCGGGACTGTTGCAGCGAGCAGTGGCAGAACCTTTGGGGCTTCTGCTCGAGGTAGCAGTCTGGATGACATCTGGATTTTGCCAGGTGCCGTTCTGTACATAATACGCGAAGTGTGCGAGTGTTTAGGCGTCGCACGCCCTCACAACACGAAGGTACATTTCATAATGAACGTGAAGACAGTTTTGTCAGAACAAACAATATTGTTAAGGTGACGCGTATTTGGCACGCCCCCGTCCTCATGCTGCACGCCTTAACCAATCACGAAAGCGGAAGCGGATCACGTGTCCCCTGTAGCGGTGAGCAGTGCTGCCGCCGACAACAAACCTAACACGCAGGGATGTAGCATACTATGCAAAAGAAAGATGGACTCAACTAGACGTTATTTAAAGTAAAGGTTCCAGAAGGCAAGGATACTTTGGGAATTTTTTGACTGCATGATAAAAATGTAGCATGTACGGAAAATCGCTGGACAGGTGTCAGGCAAGGCTGGATGGGCTGTCAAAACTTAAGGGGCTGCACGCGAGACTTCTCACCAGACACTACGAGACGTCGCTAAGTCAGCAGCAGCTGGATTTGTTGAAGGCGGCAAAGCCAAACTGGTAAAACCACGTCTTTTATGGAGTCCGATAACATAATGATTCGTAAGATTTATTATTCGTAATATTTGTTGGGAGGATAAAAACCCAGCATTGTGTCTGTCGGCTTAATTCAAGACAATTGTTCAAGCTGATCCAAATCACCAGCTCGCGTTTAGAATCGCCCCACGAAGCATCTCGTAGTGTCCTGATCGGCCCCAAGCCACTGCACTGGCGGCGCCAACGTGTTCGTGAACGATTCACCATACTGATCGGTAACGCGCAGGGCGGAACTCCCCGGGACACCTCCGCGTGAGCGAGCCCATCTGTCGTCGCGAACCGCCACGTCGCAGAGTTTTCAGTGCACCAAAGCTGGTTTCAGTGAAGAAATCCATTTTGTCACTGAGTGGGCCCATGGGTAGCGCTGTAGTCAGACCACTTCCCTGTTGAATGAGACCCCAGGCTGACGGCAAACGCGGCCTTCAGTACAGTTTCCAGCCACACATCTCCTAAAAGTTGGGTATGTGGTTCGCTCCGCGTTATTGTGTAGTGCGATCTCCGCGATCTCCGCAGCGCTTCACTTTATTCGAAGCGCCATGTACGCGGTTTCCACCATCAAGTCCTGCTTAACCCTTCATTCAGTTGAAACACGAACTCCTAATGTGGCTCGTTGTCGTCAATATGGCAAGCGTTTAACAGCCCCATGTTCCCTGAAACCTTGATGTGATTAAATAAGGAATACTTAAACGGATATGAACCCAAGAGATGCTCATGTATACTTAAATATGCGCCACTTCCGCGTGATTGCAAAGGGCTGATGCAATGCGTAAAGTAAAATTAGAAAAGCTTATTTAAACTCCCACTTTGATGTAATATGAATACCATGTGCTGATTCCCACCATCACACAATCTTGATTTGCGTTTTAAAGCGAACTCCATGAGGTCGAAAAATCCACTCATGAATAGGCAGTTGACGCGGCTCCCTCGGCGCAGACATTGCGAGGCCTTCCGTGCAGCACGTATCCCGCCCGCCCGCTGTAAGGGCCTTGTGTTACATTATTACCGGCCGTCGCGTCCGCGGGGCGAGATGACGGACAGGAATTACATAAATGTGCGACGTGGTGCGGCACGTGTCACCGTCCCACCACGTACGGCGGACGGTGCGGCACGCGGACCGCACGTGCGACGTGGCATGGCACGTGTCACCATGCCGCCTCGCGCCGTGGGCGGCGGGGTACGCGGGCAGCGCGCGCCGATGTGGGGTGTCTGCCGACGCGACGGTCGATGCTTCACGGACTGACGGCGGCCGGCAGCGCTTGTTGGCCACGCCATCCAATCATAACTCCATCGCGATATTTTCCAGCTCGTGTGCAAAATGGCACACCTTTATAGGGACCCGCTGTCGTTGGTGAATTGCGCTTTTTCGTCGGTTGACTAATTAAGGTCGGTGGACGTATGCAATTGTATCTGCCAAGCAGCAAAACATGCTTTTTTTCGCGTAGCAGAGGGAGTGCGGGCGCCGGTTTCGTAACATATCACACAATTCGCCAAACAGCACGCTGCGCTCCCAGCTGATTTCTCTGGCTTTTCGCGAGTGACCTCGAACCTCGTGACACCTGCACCCCCGCGGTGCGTCTGCAGACCCTGTGACCGACGTGCTTCCCCAGGCGGTGTACTTCACGGCCACGTTCCCGTACCTGATCCTGGTGTGTCTGCTGGTGCGCGCTGCCACGCTGCCCGGCTATATGGACGGCATCTACTTCTACCTGACGCCGCGCTGGGAGAAGCTCCTCAACGCCAAGGTGGGGCGCCATCTCCAGTGCCGCGCCGTGAACCTGGCTCAGCCCCGCGCACCAACTTATCCCGCCGGATGTGATCATAACTCGTCGTGGAGACTTCCGTTATTCCCATAACGGAAGTGTCGAGCTCGAACATAACGGAAGCTCGTGCTCGAACCTGCATTGTCGCAGGGAAATTGGTCTATGTTGAACTTCGGGCGCGGTGAGTGCAGGCGGCCCAAAACAGAGAAGCTCCGCCGACGGCGAAGACTCGTTCTGGTCCCGTCAGGACCACTGATGCTGTGAGCTGTGATTCTCGGAGCCGATGGTTCCTCAGGGTTAACATCGGTCTCATCGCTCCGTTTCATCATGGTCTCCACCGCTTCGGGTGCTTGCCGCCGGCGGGTTCTGCATTGTCCCCGACGGGCTGCCTGTGCGGCTCTCAGCCCCGACACGCTCCTCCGGTCTCGTTAGGGACCAAAGCTCGTCCGATTTCATTTAGGTGCCACCATAATGCTGGGATCGTGCCATTTCTGGCCGGCGCGGTCTGGCCTGGCCGGCTCTCCAGGGTCATCCTCACGCGGTGGACTGGTGAAACGGTCGTCAGTGACGGTCGACAGTGAGAATCAATAGTGACCGTCGACAGTAACAGGCGATGGGGCGTTCTCTCAGGTTTGGGCGGACGCCGCTGTACAGATCTTCTTCTCGCTGTCTCCGTGCTGGGGCGGTCTCATCACCCTGGCCTCCTACAACAAATTCCACAACAACCACTTCAGGTGAGCGCCGCAGCAACTGCAGTCCGGGAGCTGCAGCAGGCCAAGCGAAACCGTCATCAGCGCGAAATAGTAATCAAACGAGAAGAACATCTATGAGATGGCCGTTTGATGCGTCTTGTTTATAGTGGTACCGATGAACGAATGAGTCACCACGTGCGCTATGGGGCGCGTCACCACTGAAGTCCAGGAGCTCAGGCTTGCGTTATTGAACTTGACACACATGGCATGCTGGCTGCAGTTATTGTCCGTCCATGGCCAGTTCATACCGCACGGAATGTACATTTGACCATGATTAGGCGCGCCGGTTGAAGGCTGGTTTCAAGGAATTCGGGCGTGGAAGCAGGTTGTTACGCAGTGGAGGCTTTCCGAACTCTGGTCAATTCCACCACTACAGTTGTATGACTGGGAGGTGGATACTTCAATGCTTGCCTTGATTGGTTGTGGTGGAACAGAATGATTTGCCAATGGACGCTCGTGTTGAGATTCCGCTTCGATATGTACATGAACCTTGGCCTACTTCGTCAACCGTAACTAAAGTTATTCCCATTAATCCTCAGTCAGGTGGGTGATGTCTGGGCGCTTCATCTTGACGAAACACGTCGCCATCAGTTATTGGACACCTCAAATCAGAGTAGCATTTGGTGCTCCAGAATGATTCCCTGTACATTTCTACCTTTTGAAGAGGGAGTTGTGCAAGCGACCCCGTTTATTCTTTCTGCCAGCGTTTCTTGTGCCAACTAACTGCCTTTGTGCTAGGTATTCAAACTGCCGTTGCGGAATCTGCAAGATACCCGTACGAAGGATTACCGAAGAAGCGTGTAGTAAAACTGCAGTACAATGTTTTTTTTACAGGGATGCCATCTTTGTTTCGTGCGGAAACTGCTTCACCAGCTTCTTCGCGGGCTTCGTCATCTTCGGCATCGTCGGATTCATGGCACACGAGCTCGGCGTCAAGGTTGAAGACGTGGCTGCGCAGGGTTAGTGGTGTGCATACGCCCAACCCCACGCCCTATTATTGCGGATACAGAAGGTGTCCTTGACCTTTTTCCGTGCGCAGGTGTGTGTTGGCGTGACATGTCAACGTCGGCAGTGGCAGCCGCCGTTAAGGTTAGTGTGATGCCGTGTGCCTGCAGCTCACAGAGGGCTCTATTTTACCCGTCGCGCCGACGCAAAGTGTACTTTGCGTTTCCGTTGACCGTTGCAGCCGTAATGGCTGTCGGCGCCGCAGCTGTGGGCGTTCGTGCGGTGTTTCGCCATTTTCCGAGAATTGGATAGTTCGTGTTCACAAGCATGTAGTTAGACGATGGCTGTAACTGTTAAGAGTGCTGGTGAATGGTATATCGACGCGCGAATTTTGTTCACGTGTCGTCGCGGACAGGCACCAGTAGGCGATGATCAGATGTGGACTTGGAATAAAATAGTATACGAAGTTAATGAGCGAGGTGCGCGCAACTTTCGCCATATTTAACTAAAAGACCATGTCACGGCAGGTCCAGCCACTGTTAACATCGATACGACCTACGGTATTCTATCGCTTGCAGATATCCTTCCGATAAAAACAAAAACAGAACGCGTCTCACTAAGCCCCCGTATCGAGCAGCCTCGGTCGTCGCAATTACGGCATATGAGCCGGCCGCCCGTCTGGGAAGGCGACGGGTGGCAGGATGTCATTCGCCCATACCCGATAAGCTGCGATGGCAGGCGAGCCTCGTCGTCGGAATCGCCCCATGCTGATTGGCTTTTGTTCTCCGTCATATCGATCCCGGCATGATGATTGGCCGCAGTCGGCTGCCAGTGCTGGCTCGCAGCCAAACCGGTGCCACAGCTGGCAGTTGCGTGATGCGCGTTATTTGCCCGAGGCTTCAGACGAGTGTTTGTTGAGCAGGCGCGCGATAGCATCGGCTGAAAACAGCCACCCCGCTTCAATACATTGTTGCCTGTCGGTGGGGCTTTGTGACCGTTTTTTAGTACCACGCCTTCCAGACCGACGGTGAACGACACGGAGGCCGTGCTCTTAGTCCGGGATGTGCTTGAACCGCCCTGCGGTCTCACCTATGTGCTTTCACGGTTTTTCACACACGGCTGTCTTTGATCCCGTTCCTGTGCCGTTATCAACACCAGTGTGTCGTTGCATCGCCGACTGGCTTCACCACCGCTTGGTCTTCACGTTCCCTCTGGCTGACAAACATTCAGTAGATTTTAAAACGATCGCCCCTCGTCAATCCATGTACCCCCGGGATGCGTCTGGGATAGTCGCAGCCACCTGTCGGTCCCGCTGCTGACGCACGTCTGACCGAAGATGTTGACCCGCCGCAGGTCCTGGCCTTGCGTTCATCGCCTACCCGGAGGCGGTGTCGCGCCTGCCGATCTCGCCGCTCTGGTCCATCCTGTTCTTCTTCATGCTGCTGACGCTCGGCATGGGCACCCAGTTCACCATCCTGGAGACGATCGTGTCCACCGTGACCGACCTGGACCCCAACCGCCTGCGCAAGCACCGCACGTGAGTGCCGCCGCCGGTTGACGGCCGAGCCGTGGTGACGGCACGTGCGCTGCGGTGCTTCTCGTGTTCTGCGAGCGAGTCGTTTCACCCGGCTGAACATCTAGAATTGTGAGGCTTGGTCGCATCGAATCGTGGCGATGCGGCTTTGACGCAGCGTTGGTTTTTGTGGATTCGCCACATTCGTTGTTGTGTGGCTGCTATAGTTCTTTTTGTGTATATCTGCTGTTGCGGTTGTAGGTCATGCCTACTGAATGGACCATCGACCGCCGGGCGCTGACGTGTCAACCCGTGACCGCTCCTGCCGGGGGTAAAGGCTCTGAGTAATGTGTTCGTCATCACGCCAGGCTGCAGGAAATCTGTTCGATTTGGTCATCGCGAAACAATCACTGTCACAGCTGCAGCCTATTTCCCAGTCGCTACTGTCCGGATTAACTGCCGTTCTCCGTGAGTGTTGTGGCGTTGCCGAGCCTCGTGACGACTGCGTTGAGTCCCAGTAGCTGCAGCCGTCGCACCTCTCTGCGTGAGCCCCAGGTCTCAAGATCCACACGTCCTCCAAGCGGTATCCCTGGCTCGTCGGCGCTTCCCGCCCGCTCCCGCGTGCCCTGAGCGGTGCGCGTGTGCCGGTGCCATGCTGGCAACGTGCCTGCCCCCGTCCAGCGGGTACCACTGACGTGGCGTCACTCCGCCCGTCCCGCGAGCACCCCTGACGTGACGTCCCCCCACCCGTCCCGCGGGCACCCCCGCCCCCTGACGTGACGTCATTCCCCCCGTCCCGCGGGCACCCCTGACGTGACGTCACTCCGCCCGTCCCTCGGGCACGTCATTCCGCCCGTCCCTCGGGCACCCCCTGACGCGACGTCACTCCGCCCGTCTCGCGGGCACCCCTGACCGACGTCCCCGCCGCCCACAGCCTTGTTCTGGTGGGCTGCTGCGCGTTCATGTTCATGTGCGGCCTGCCGATGTGCGGCAGCGGCGGCCTCTACATCCTCACGGTGAGTGGGACGCGACGCGCGGCGGCGCCCTACAGGTAAAGGCCGACGTTGGGACCGGCAGGCTTCTCCAACTGGGTAGGCGCTGAACAAGCGGTACGCGCCCTCCTATATTTCTGTCTTATTTGCACTGTCCCGACTGAATTAGTGATGCCTCCGGCGAGTGCAATGTCCAGTGTCAACTGCATTGTTGGCGTTGTGTTCCCTGGCCGGGTATTTTTAGTAGCGCCTGCAAAGCGAGGACCCACCATTTGTTCCTTGTAGAGGCGTGTGTGGCACACGACACCATCCGACCCTTTCAGCGGGCGCCAGCCGCGGTGTGGGTCGTTTGGGTCGAAGTCAGCCCACGCGGTGAGGCGAGCGTTAACGGTCGCGTTTGCACGGCTTCTCTGCTGGACGGGAGGGTCGATACGGCGGCCGGCGCTGTCCGCCTGACGCCCCTTCCCCCCCCCCCCCCCCCACAGCTGATGGACAACTACGCCGGCACCTTCTCCGCCCTGATCGTCGGCATGACCGAGGTGCTGGTGGTGTCCTACATCTACGGCGTGGAGCGACTGCTGGATGACATCAAGGTCATGCTGGGCCACTACCCGTTCCACTACGTCTGGTGGAAGTGGTCCTGGCGGGTGATCACGCCGGCACTGGTGACGGTAGGCAGACTCGGAGGTGTTGCCTGGGCTGTGCTGACGGGTCACGCGTCGTAGTCGTGCTGCGATGACGCGTGGTGGTAGAGGCGGTAGAAAGTAATGTGTGCTTGTCAGGTTTATTATTGGTTGGGCGTCTTGAAGCGAGAAGGCCGGCGTGTAAATATGAGGCGCAGCGTTGTATTGCATGGAAGTGCTAAACTCAAGCACCGGTTTCAGATGAGAGACGAGATAATTGTTATTCATGTACTGATTGGCCTGCGCTGTTTGCAATAGAGTGTTGCTCCACTGAAAGGTGAAATGTCCAACCAAATTTCGAATTTTTCTTATCTACAGCATGCTCGGCAGCAATCGCAAAGTGGGAAGAACTGTCTCGCTATTGGTTAAGGCTGACATTCCCTGTTTTTGATGTTCAGAGTGAGATGCGAAATGCGTACGAAATTAGTTGACATTCGTAATTGCAGTAGTTATAGAAACCACCACTGTCATGCGGAGAGAGAAAAATCGAGCATGGGAAACGTCTTGAAATTGAAGTGGAAAGCCATCCATAAAGATAAAGCATTTCAACAAGCATTCGTGCCCGTCTTCTCTAAAAAGTGTGCTAGCACCATGACAAGATCCGAAGAACGCGTCGTTCCTTTTTCGGCAGGGTATCCTGGTCTTCACCTGGGTGGACTACACGCCGCTTAAGTACGGTACATATGACTTCCCGACCTGGGCCAATGCTCTCGGATGGCTCATCTCCTTCACGTCGGTGACCATGATCCCCTTGACGGCGGCCCTGAAGCTGTACCGGATGGACGCGGAGCTGACGCTGAGGGAGGTGGGTAGATGGCGCCATCACCTGCGCGAAGTAGCACAGAGGGCAGCCTTATCGAGCCGCAATGCTCGGGCTCCCGGACATGTTCGGTGGAGCTCCAACCCCGTCGATTGGTCCAAAGGAGCAACTGGGTACACTTGATTTACGGGTACGATCTCAGTCGCCGATGCAGCCCTTGTAAAACAACATGAGTGCCGTCAATTATGAAAAGCACCGCTTCCCTTCTGCCTCTATTTGCCTTGTGTTTAACAACGATTTGGTTGTGTCTTGTGTGCCTATTTGTGCATAACTGCCCTTTGTTTAACGACCAGCGTCAGTCCATTGCACTGTTCTGCCCCGGTCGCCACTGTCCATCTGGTCTGTTCGGCGTAAACAGTGTGGGTGATCAGTAGCCTGACTGAACGGAGGAGTCCAGTAGAGCACACGGACTTCAGCCCCGTCATGTCCATGCTTGAAGGCGCGAGGATTCCCGGGGTGCAAACATGGGGTGGAACGGCTGTTCCTCCTCCGAGGCCTGCGAGCTCGACTCACCGGAGGGCTGCTGGTAGCGCGGCGTGGCCGGTGGTGACGTGACGGAGCGCCGTTCCCCGGTTGCAGCGGATACGGATCCTGACTCAGCCGAACGCCACCTGGGGACCGGCCCTGGACAGGCACCGGCTCGAGGCCAAGCTGTCGCGCCGCAACGTCAGGTTCAGGAACCGCCGGCTGAATAAAGGCGAGTCATGACGGGAGTGACGGATGTGACGGGTATTGATGTGACGGGTGTGACGGGTGTGAGGGGTACGGGAGTGACGGGTACGGATGTGACGGGTGTGAGGGGTGCGGGAGTGACGGGCGTGACGGGTACAGATGTGACGGACGTGAGGGGTACGGATGTGACGGGTGCGGATGTGACGGGTGTGACGGGCGTGATGGGCGTGACGGGTACGGATGTGACGGGTGTGACTGGTAACTGCGCCTCACATGCAAGGAGTACGTAGGTATCAAGTGTCAGGAGGCCTCCGCTCCTTATAGACGTTTCGTTGCCAATTCAAGGTAGATCAACTCAGGTATATCCTGTGACGTCACCAGCCCCGCTTTTGGTGGTGGCCGTGTTACCTGCTTTCAGCAGTGACTGTACCAAGAGAGGATGCTAAGCGTAGCACCGGCATACGGTCAACAGAAGTCGCCCTTTCTTCACCTGCAGACGTGTAACTGCGCCCTCTGCTATTCAGCGGCCTTGGGCTGCTAGATTTTGACCTGGAATTCCGGCCGTGCCCTCAGATGGCGATGACGACACGACGCTGAACGAACAGGAGGGTCTGCAGATGACGCTACCCGCCATCAAAGAGGACAGGGAAATTATATAGGTGAGGAAGATCTGACGTAGTCGCCTGTCTGTAGCCGTGTGCTGGACTCGTAATTAGTAAGCCCTGCGAAGGTAACAGTGGCGAGTATGACTGCATGGCCGCAAGCGTTTGGTGTCATGTCGTCAAGTGTCCATGTGACTTCGAATGGCATAAATGTCATTCAAATTCACATGGACATAGTCCTGTCAACCGAGGCACAGCAAGTAGCTCTCATTTAGATGTACGGCACTTAGTGTCATTTGCCCAGGCCGTCTTTTCTGTAAATACACATTTTATGTTTTGTCTTCACGAAGAGCATGCAGTGGTTGCTATGAACTGCTCCCAATCTGCTTCCTTCCGGTGCCGCATTGCTTGTATGACTAAGTCGGAGTAAAATATTCAACGCATTTTGTACGTTTAGCACTAAAAAAAGACTTTCATGCCCGACGTCCAGTGCTGCCTAATGGTGGCAGTTGATCTTCGGGACCGTGTTGTACCATAGATTGTAGTGTACCATGGATTGGCATCATATGCACCCTTCTGTCAGATATTTCTTCAGTCAGCCTGGTCAGTTTGTCCGATGTGGGATGTGCCACTGTACATGCACGAATATCGCTGCATGTGATGGTCGCCATGACCGTTGGATACGGCCCCTATATACGACGACCTGGATGTGCCCGCCTGATGTCCGTCCTGTGGCGATGAGATCGCTTGCGTGACGACCGTGACGTGTCCACCTTAGGCGTACCCGCCACTTGATGTCCAACCGCGTGAGGTGACCGTAACGCGTTCACCGCCGCCTTGGCACGTGACGCGGCCCATCCGTGACGCGGCACACCCGTGACGCCGCCGCGCGCGTGACGCCGCCTTACCGTGCCTGCCGCAGGTGTAACCGGCGGTTGAAGACCCCCGTCCGGTCGGCACCGGCAGCTGGACGCCCGGCTCGCCGCTCCCAGGGACACTTGTGATGCCGCCGCCGCCGCTGCTGCGCTCCGGCCCGGCCCGGCCCGGCTGTTGTTGATGTTGCTCGGACGTTGCGCCGACGCTAGTTCTGACGAACGGCGGCTGGGAAGCGCCGTCCAGGCAGACCGCGCGTGCCCGCTCGCCGAGAAGAAGTCATCCTGCGTTCCATTGGTTTAAAAGAGCGTGCTTGTTTGAAGCGCACGGTAGAGGAGGCGCTGCACGGTCTCGGCGGAAGACCTACCGTGCGCAGACGTGTGCAGATCCTGTGTCGTGAGTGCAGTAGAAAGTGTTTGATAGTGTGGTCTCTGAGTGTAGCGTTGCCGGGGTGTGCAGTGACGAGGCTTTATTGCCCGACGCCTTCTCCAGCCAGGTAAGAAACGTTGACGCTATTTTCAGACCAGGGATGGACATGTGCGGAGCTATGTTGCGTGTGCCCACCGTTCGCTGCGTTGGCGTTTGTGACGTTGGGTGAGCTGCGCGTATCCCGCGTCGTGTGGCCGTTAGGCAGACTCGACATGTGGGACGGACTCGAGGGGAGGGTGTTACCCGGTGACCCCGCACTCCTGGTGATACTCTGGTGCATGCACGCACGGGTGTGACACGCACCGGCTCGGAGCGGCACGTGTCCATGTCCCACGGGCACGTGGCACGTGCCGGGCAGCGGCGTGGTCACAGCGCGTGTGAGCGGCGGCACGTCTTCGGCGCTACCGGCTGCCTACCGAGTATTATTCAGTTGTGCCAATGTATGTTGCTGCTGGCTGTTGTAGATGTTCGCGGACCCCAGCAAAGGGTGGTGTTGATATCGCTCAAATTGGTATCAAAACACCAGCAAAATTTCAAGCTTGAGCTTTTAGGATACTCGTGTGACATTGATCTTAACACGTTGTTTTGTCTTTCGCTCCGTAAACTGTGGATGAGATACGTGTGATGTTAAAACTGTCGATATTTGTATGCTTGACCTAACCGGTTCTTGTTCGTTGGGTAGATTTGTTGGCTGAAACTTGTTCTAGTCGATGGGCTTATCGTCAGTAGGTGTCCTAGTCATACTGGAGACACGCCATATTTTGCCCGTATCTATGTTTCATGATGGGACACATTTCTAAGATGAATGATCTATGCATTAATCCTTTCGGCCTAAACGTAGTGTAAGAAAATCGTAGCGTTGTGCACGTGAACCGAAATGTAAATGTGGACAAATTTACGGGAGTTCGCGTAACGTAAAAGAATCATTGTTCCTCTGCTCCCACGCCTCGTCCGACTTAGCTGTGGGGCAGCATTTGGAAATCTTCGTCAGTCCACTTACACCACCACCAGTACTTAGCTGCACAATAAGCTGTAGGAAGCCAGCCGCCATGGTGCTGTCCGTCCGCGCCACCCGACTACGCTGCCGGCGCTGTGAGCTGAGGCGGACTCACCCGAACTGGACAACCGCAGTGCCCAAGTACTGCGTCCCCATTCAGTGTACCTAAGGAGAAGCCATTTGTTTTGTACCTGCGCGGAGCCGGCGACCAGCGGCGCCGGCGCGCAGCGGCCGACGCTGGCGCGTGCGTCCCGGCCGGCGGCGGCCGTCCGTCGCCTCGGGCGACGCAGCCGCGGCCGCCGCCGACCCGGTCATCAGCTGACTGCGGCGGCGACCACGGACTGCGCGCTGTGCCCATGACGGGGACGGCCGCGGCCGGCGGAGACGCGGCAGACGGCTGAGACGTGACGAATAAAGCTCAGAACGAACCGCCTTTGTGAACGTTCGCACATTGGTCGCCTTAGGTGACGGTCAGGAGGGCGGCGCGTGACAGTGAGGTGACCTCGCTGGAACCAGAACGGAAGCAGGCAGCTGACACCTGGAGCTGCTCGTTGGTCATCCGTCGAGTCACACGGAGTGTCACTGGAGATGGGCTACCGTAATGCGCGTGAGGCAGGAGGTGCAAGGGCGCGGGTGGTGTGTCGTTCTCGAATCGCCAGGGATGCGCACAGGCCAAATGACCGATGTTGTATCGTGGGGCACGGCGCACGTCCAGCGCCAGCATTTTGCGATCCATGTTATATTTACGCTTGAAGTCCCGTAAGCCCCAACTTCCACGCACCTCGACCACCACTGCAGTTCGAGCAACGTAGGAGGAGCGTGCTGCCGTCATAGATAAAAATAGCTGAGATCAGGATTGCGGGATTTTTCTGACTTTACCTTGTTTTGTCTGTCTCGGAGTTTCTTCGTCAGTTTGATGCCTCATATACATGTATCCCTGTGTTAAATTACTGCAAATTTATATCACAATGCAGTCACCAATTACCCCTTTTTCAACTTACCAGGCACGCTGCGATACCTGAAAAGGCGCGGGCACAGGAACCGTATGACAGGGAACGGGTGCATGGCCCATCTACTTCCCGTGAAAGTTTAGCATCAATCCTTTGGTGGGTGATCCAGGGACAATGTCTTCAAGGGAATTATTTACCCACGTTGGTACATTCCTAAGCCCGGGGAAATAACCGAATCGCGCTGCTCTCGAGGCTTAATTATCGACGCTAGATTAGTTAACTCCAGTGTGCACACATTATTGGCTCTACGCAGGCGTACATTAGTTTACACCTGAGTTCACACAACGAGGGTGCTCTCTCTCTCCACGCCTCCAACAAATCACGGCAACTGACGATTAAAGGGCAAAAACCCAATAACAATTCTTCTGTCGGCACCTTGAGCCGTGCGCGGCTCAGAGCGGCGGAGGGGTGTGGGCTGGGTGTTGTTTGATCGCACCGGACCCGCCCCTTCTCCGGCTCCGCCGACCGGCCGCGGTCCATTATTCATGAAGGTCGGCGTGGTTACCCCGGTAACGAGGAGATGGGGTGGGGCTAGCAGCTCACCCGCTGGAGGAATGCAGCAAACGCCATCCCCCGGTGGGCAGCCGGGGTGGCCGCCTGATGGGGCACAGAGGGGCCGGGATAGCGAGCGTGCGCGGGGCGACCGTCCGCACGCGAAGACAGGGCCACGGGAAGTTTTGTGCTGCGGAGTGCGGGTGAATGAGTGGAGTGCGTACGGCCAGTCTTGCCGCTTGGCTCAACGAGTGTCTTTTATACACGATGTGAAAAGCATTCGCTAAAACGAGCACGCCTTGTTCACTTCCAACGATCGTTGGCCGGGTGAGGGTTACCGTCCTCTGCGTGTCGCCACAGCCGCGCAAGGCGGACCGGGAGATCGTGAGCAGCGCCCGGCAGACGTCATGTCTGGCCGCGCCCTGTCAATTCCGACTTCCTCACCCGCGTATCACGACTTCTGGGGGCTGCCGCTGACCGCGGAGGCTTCCCACGACACGACGCACGTCCTCCCCCCGCCGGCGGGGCCCTCCAGAGCCCCGGTCGGCCGGCGGGCCCCGGCGCCCTCCGTCGTCTCGTACGACGACCTCGGCGACGAGAGGTCGGCGCTGGTGCGGCGACGGCCTCGCTTCAGCCTCCGCCGACGCAAGCAGGTGGTGCGGGACTCGGTGGCGTCGCTGGCGGCGGCGCCCTGCCAGCTGTGGACCTGCCTCGGCCGCGTCCGGCCTCGCCCCGACAGCCTCTGGTGTGAGTACGGCCTGAGACGGCGACTGCGGGCTCGGGAGCGGTAGGGGAAGGAGTGCGCGCGCGCGCGCGCGTGTGTGTGTGTGTGTGTGTGTGTGTGTGTGTGTGTGTGTGTGTGTGTGTGTGTGTGTGTGTGTGTGTGTGTGTGTGTGTGTGTGTGCGCGCGCGTGCGTGCGTGCGTGCGTGCGTGCGTGCGTGCGTGCGTGTGTGCGTGCGTGCGTGCGTGCGTGCGTGCGTGCGTGCGTGCGTGCGTGCGTGCGCGCGCGCGTACGTGCGTGTGTGTGTGTGTGTGTGTTTGTGTGTGTGTGTGGAAGCGTGAGTGTCGTGCTAGGAATATGGTCATTGGTCATGTGGTTAAGATTTTGTTGGTTGCATCGAAAGTGTTACATCCTGAAAGCAAAATAATTATTGGTTTGAAAGGTAACTCCCGAAAAAGAGTAAAGTTCATCGGTTTACAAAATGCTCACCGAGTGTTTTGTACTCGTATGACACGAGTCACCAGACGTAGGCCATCCTGAAATTCACATTTCTTATCTCGCACTTGCGGATAATGTCGCTTGGGGATGACCGAATATCGTTCTCAGTCGTATGATATCATGTCCATTATACATTAGCTCAAGTAGCGACGCAAATGTTGCAAATTCTGCGGCAAATTATTCTTGCCTGCGGTGCATCAAGCCAGGAACACGACAAACGCCGTCGACATCGCCACTGCGAACCTGCGACGGACGGTTAGCCGACTGGCCCGTCAGACACCCGTGGTCATGATCATCACGCCAGGCCGAGACATCCCCGGATGACATGACGATATTATCATTGGCCCGCCCGCCGACGGGCAACGACTCCGCCGGGAATGAGGACCAGGCCGCCGCCTGCACAGATGTCAGCCACGCCCCGCGGACCAGTCGTTAAACGGGCTGCAGCTTCGGCGGCGGGATCAGCCCCGACGCGGCGGCTCGGGTCGCGGCCGGGGTGCCGGAGCTGCTGCGGCGTCGGCGGCTGCGCGCGTCGGGGGCGAGCCTCTGTCCGGCTCGCGCGGTGTTTTTGATATGGCGGCGTTGTCGTCTTCGTGGGCCAGGGCCCGGGAGTGAGAAATCTAAATCCGTTGAGGGTTTTAAGTTCTGCCGGATGAGAAGTGGGTAGCGTGGTCGTAACCCTGTTATCCCGATCAAGAGGAACCCCACCGGCAAAGTGAGGTTCTCTTAACGACTTCGCCATTCATTTGCCCCTATCGCAAATGACCATCAGGTGTGCCTGGAGTTTTTGCCCGCCTGGTCTGTCATCGTTTCGTTTCATCATCCCATTACCGTTCCGCGCACCAGAGCGTATCGCTCCTTTCCGCGTGACGGGGCTCACAAGGATGGGTGTCCGTCTGCACCACCTCCTCCGCCGCTAAATCCTTCTGCACGCCACCGCCACATCTTCGTCCCCGCTGCGGATAAGTCCCCGCCCAGTCTCCCTCCGCAGCTCTTGCATACTTCACCGTCCTTAATTAGCCGGCAAAACGGCCGGCCGGGCGGCGGCAGCGTGCCGCGCCGCGAGCGGTGGCCGGCCGGCGGCGGACTGCACACGTGCGCGCCGGAGTTGGCACGGCGTTCGGACACGGCCGCGGCGTGTAGCGGCCGACTGTGATCAGTGCAGCGGCCGGCGCCGGCGGGAGCTCGCGACAGCTGACCGAGGAGCGGAGCGAGCCGAGGCCCAGAGGCGTGCGAGCGTGGTGTGGACCGCCGACGGCGCCGCGAGGTGGACGGGGACGGGCCGGCGTGCTGCCGCCGGCGGAGGAGAGGTCCGACGGCAGAGAGACCCGGCGGCGGAGAGGCCCGGCAGCGGAGAGGCCCGGCGGTGGAGGGGCCAGTCAGCGGAGAGATCCAGCGGCGGAGAGGCCTGGCGACGGAGAGGCCCGGCGGTGGAGAGACTCGGCGGGCTGTGCTGGAGAAGTGGCGAGTGTTGTAGAGAAGGCGCGGGCGCGGCGGCGCGAGCAAGTGGTGAAGTTGGGGTGGACAGCGCCGGGTCGGTTTCGATTTTCCGATAGAAACTGGCGTGAGCTGACGCGTGAGGCGGGCTTTGCCGCGAGTGCAACATCACCGGAAGTACAGGGGTTCTTCACGTGTCAGTGTGGAAGGGCGGGTGAACCGGTTTGATTAAGGGTAGGAAGACAACCACAGATAGCTGTGGTTGTCTTTAGGCGAAATGAATTTCACTAAAAGCGCGCAGACGTGTCCCTCTTTTCTCTGCTCGTGGGCCTTCATTCTTCCGTATTTCGAAAGTTGAGCGCACTTTTCAACTTTTCTGCTCCAAAGATATCTAGCTGGTCGTGCCAAGCCAGTCTTTCCGTCCTCGCTGCCCGGACAGTGAGAGTGCGTCAGCGGTCGAGTGGGCGGGCCGTGCTGTCGCCGACGCGAGACAGGAGACAGCCGTCTGTCCCCGGTCGGCCCGCCCGCTGAGACGGAGCAGCGCCCCTCCCCTCCCACCGCCGGGAGCGGGAGCGGACACATCGGCCCGGCGCGGCAGAGCAGGTGGTCCTCTCTTTCTGAGGCCCCACCGGCTGGCGGGAGCAAACGCAGTCGGGGAGTGGTAAATAAAGTAAACAGGCCACGGGGCAACAGAAACGGAAGCAGCAACGAGCGCCTGCTACACCAATTGGCACAGGAAGCACGCTGGCATAAAAGCGGCGGCGGTGCACTGCTGTCACCCGAGGAAGCGTACAACCTCATATGGAAGACTGGCCGCGGCAGTGGCGTCCTCATCTCATGAGAACACATCCGTGAGGAGACTCCGCCCTGGACGTCACCGCGCCAACATCAGCTCGCCGGCGGAAGTGTGCGTCCCCACGCAGGTCATCATCACCTCATCTCGTCGGGGAAAGTGTGCCGCTCCGAGCAGCTGGCCAGCTGCAGCAGCGGCGCCCCGTCTCGTCAGGGCGCTCGGTCCTGCCGGGCCGCCCGCCGCCAGCTGAAGCGCGCCGGCCGGCTGCCGGCGCTGCCAGGTGTGCACGCCCGGCGCTCCAACCGACGCTGATTTACCGACGCCGTTACTGCCGCTGCGTCGATGGAGTGCGGCATCTGCAAGACAAAACAGTGGTCCCAGCGTCACGTGCCTCGTGAGTACACGGCGCCTGGCGACAGGTGTGATGGCGCCTGGCGCCAGCTGCTAAGGAGGAGGCGACGGCAACGGGATCCATGCGACGTATGGACGCGGACAGGCGTCTGGCGTGATGTCGTGTGGGATTTAGCATGGGTGCTACTACCACTCGGCTAGCTGGGGTCCGAATACCAGTAACGCCTGGGCGGATTACGCGAGTTTTATGCTTTGGCCATAAAAAGTGGCACCAGAACAGAACTGAACAGCAGCCGCCTTATGTTCCTTGCTACGTCCACGGGATGCATGACCCAGTCAGCTGTGTCACCGCGAAAAGCTTGCGCAAACGCTATCGCGACATCAAACGCGGCTGACGCGCGGAGGTCCGCGGAAATCCTCGACGACCCGCCACATACTGCTTCGGTTCTGCGGACAGGCCCTGCCCGGGGCCGACTGCGCTGAGCTTGTGCGCAGCTGGCAGTGGGACGCACTTCGTACTTGTCTGGGAGACAGGCGCTAGACTATCAGCATGTAGCAGGGGAGAGCTTGTCATTATGATCGACTACACCGCGCTCACCTGTCGGTTGATGGCTTGTGGATTTATGTCGGGCCTTCAAACTACTGGAGCGCAGTGTCAAAACGTGACAGGGTGACGACACGGGGTGCGCCGTTGCTCATCACATGCTGGGCCAGTTACAAGCTAAGGCGAGTGATGCACCCAAAGGCGTGCTACAGCCATTCAATTATTGTATACGCAGCACAAAAAGCTAAGCTGTATCCGTCCAATTGATCCGTCCGATGTAGTGACCATATGGCAACACGGCCATAGTTATGAAAGCCATTTGTACCTCAGGCGTTTGCCTGCAGTGACAGGCAATGCACATCTATTATCTTCCGGGGCACATCGAAAGGTGTGCGGTAACCAATGTGCGGAAGTCCTGTTCGCTGGTGGCACTCAGTCGTCAGCCTGGCCACAAATTATGTAGGCAAGAAAATCATTGCTTCCATCGACTTAACATGTTTTGTGCATATGCATCGCATGACTGAACATTTCGCGGACCGCGCCACGCGAACATATGCTTTACGAGTGCCGCCGTCGCGGTCGCTGTAGAAACCGACCCTGTTGTCACAGACCGAGAGCGTTGCTGAGAGACAGAACGAGAGCGCTTATAAAGGACATACTGACAGCGTATATAGATGACAGACTGGGTGAGCTGCTGAGGAACAGACTGTGGACGCTGATGGGGACAGACTAAAAGCGCTGTCGAGGACAATAAGAGCGCTTCCACGGAACAATCTGAGCGCGCTGCTGAGGACAGACTAATAACACTGCTGAGGACAGGTTAAGAGCGCCGCTGAGGACAGACTGAGAGCGCTGATGAGGAAATACTGGGTGCGCTGCTGAAGGACAGACTGAGAACGCTGCTGAGGGACAGACTGAGCGCTTTTGAGGACAGAATGAGAGGGCAGCTGAGGAACAAACTGAGCATTGCTGAGATAGACTAAGACCGCTGCTGAGGACACACTAAGAGCGCTGCTGGATAAATTAAGAGCGCTGCTGGACATACCAAGAGCGATGATGGACAGACTTAGAGCGCTACTGATAGACTGCGAGCGTTGCTGAGTGAAAGGCTAATAGTTTCTGAGTGACAGACTAAGAGCGGTGATAATATGGAAGCTGACAGCGCTGTTGAGAGGCAGACTGAATGTTGCTGGGGGACACACCGATAGCGCTGATGATAAACAGAACGATAGTGTTGCTGAGGGAGACTGAGGGCGCTGCTGAGGAACAGGCTGCGAGCGCTGCTGAGGGGCAGACTGAGGACGCTAGCAGTGGTGGCTGGGCCTCGCTCTGCAGCCAGCTGCCGCCGCATGCGGGCCACTCCCCGCCATTAGCGCGCGTCTCCCGGCATTAGCGGCGCTCGCCGTGGCGCGCGAACGGAGCGTCGCGTCCGACGGCACCGGCGGCCGGGCCTGTAACGAGGATGGATGGGGGTGGGTCACCGCAGCCGTGGCGCGGCTTCGCGCCGGAGACGGGCGCGTGCTTCACAGTCACCGGTGTTTACCGCCAGCGGCGACGGCAGCTGTTCGACCCGGCTACTGGGCCTGGACCAGTCGCGCGCCGCCGCGACGGCGATGAGTAAGCGTCTGGAGACGGGTAATGCGCAGCTTTATTTCTGGCGTAAATCGAAACAGATCCGACGCCCAAAAGTCAACAACGCTGATCACGGCTCGCATCGGTGATTCATCATGTTCAGCCAGCTGTCAATTACGAGGCTTGTAGGCCGCTTGTAGGCACAGCATTTCAGCCTCAAGGTATGTCGGCAACACGAACGCTGGTGAGGGGTTTGCGATAGCTGCACGTGTCATAGCACAAGTCACAAGCTGCCCACGTACCACTCACGCCACTCTCGATCACAGGCGCCAGCGGTGAACGACCGGTTCTTGTCAACACAGAAGTCACTTTCCCGAGCACGAGCTCCGACAAAAATGTGGACATCAACAGAAACGTTACAGTCGTCTAGGCTCGATTACAACACATCACGCCGGCCGTTGTCACATTATTGGTGACTACGACCTAGCACCGCGAGCATACTCCACCCATCACCATCAACGGCTATCACAATTATCCACGATCAGGCTGCAGACCACAGATATCCAGGCCGCATTTGTAAGCGCACTCAAGCTGACGAACCCCAAACTTCGATTGCTTTGTGCAAACCAGGCGCCTTCAACTCCACGTGGAGCATAGCCGAAATCACGGTTCATAGCATTACAATTCCTTGACATATAAGGAATGCATCCGTATTAGCCGGCGGTCATTGCGTTACCGCATCAGAAAAAAACAACACCGGGGTTTTCAACAAAAAAACTTGACCGCCAGGTATAACTAGCTGGGAAAGGTAACATGCCATAACTGGCATAGCCAGTACCAGACATATCATCGTTAAAGTTAAAGCTGCTAGTACCACAATGTAGGAGCACCGTATCTACCATAAACTTCGCCCTTGTATCAAACCCCACCCTAAACAAAAATCGCAGTGTTCATTTTTCATGGTGTGAATTTACGGGCGTTATTCTGGAAACATTTGTTTCCGTCAACAGAACGTAAAATATTTCATACTGGTCCACTGGTCCAGTGAGTCGCCGACATACTCTCGACGAGGCAGCATGCTATTCGACTGACTCGTCACTAGATAACGGCTACCTTTTGGCTATCATATCCGCTATCAATATAAACGCCATATGTGTTTATTGATAGCGCATGGTCGATTCAATTTAACGCCCCTTGTGCTCTCATGATAGCGTCCAATGTAGGTCACAGAACTGAGCCTGTACATCCCGTGACGGAACATGGCATGTAGAGGGCGGGGGGGGGGGGGCTTGATTGAAATCTAACCGACTCACATGAAGCTCTACACCGTAACAGCATGTATCCCGGAGATGTTACGGGCTCGCGCTAACAGGCCCAGGCCACTCAGGATAACAAACGGGGCACACGGCTCTGGAGGAAAAACTCACCCGCCTACCAGCCCCCCCCCCCCCCCCCACACCCCTCACTCCGCGCCACGGCGGTATCGAGCACAGCCGGGGGCGGTTCAATCTGTCCCAGATCGTGCGTGCCCAGCGTTCTGCTCAGAGAGTGTCGGCGAGGCTGGTCTCCCAGTGGGTGCCGCGCCGCCGTTGACGCAGCTCCACGAGCGGCGCGGCGTCGGAGCCGCTCACGCCGCGCCAGAAGGCCATCTCCTCGCGTAGCTCGGCGATCTGCTCCTTGCAGAAGCCGGAGAGCGTGAGCAGCCGCAGCCGCGGCAGCGACACCACGTCTGCCACCAGCCGCAGCAGCTCGTCCGGCCGCTCCGGGTCAGGGCAGCCGGCGAACGAGAGCCGCTCGAGACTCGCGCGCGTGCGCACCGTGCGCAGCAGCTGTGGCAGCTGATCGGCCTTCACGCGGCAGCCGTCCAGCACGAGCACGCGCAGCTGCTCGCACTGCGCCAGGAGGACGCAGAGATGCTGGACAGCGGAGTCCTGCAGGCGCAGTTCGCTAGCGTCCACGCTGTCCGACAAGTCGAGCTCCTCCAGCTGGCAGAGATGCGGCCAGAGCGCTAGCGCCTCTAGGTCGGCGACGGCCAGCGTGCACCCGGGCAGACAGAGCGCCGTCAGTGGCCCGACCAGCTCGGCCAACAGCCGACCCAGGCGGCAGCGCAGAGCGCAGCGCAGCTCCAGCCGGCGCAGCGCGCGACGCTCCGAGAGCAGCTCCAGTAGCGCCGGCCAGTCGTCAGGCTCGGCGCCGGCCGGAAGCAGAAGCTTTAGTTCGGCGAGCGCCGGCAGGCGGCGGATGAGTGCCGCCAGCCAGGCCACCGGCACGTGACCGTCCACCTCCACGCTGAGGCTGACGACGGCCGTCGCGTCCACAGCGCCCAGCAGCTGGCCGGCCAGCTGCAGGTTCAGCCGATGCTCCGACAGGTCCTGCGCGGTGGACACGATGCTGACACGGCGCAGGCAGACGCGCGCCGCGCCGGCCGGACCGCCCAGGCCGGCTTTGAGCAGGCGGCGGGCGTACATGCGCCGGGTCTCCGACAGGTCCATGCGGAGGCCCAGGCTGACGGTGGCGTCACCAGCGGCGGCGGCGGCCGCGTCGCGCACCATTCCCGCCACGGCGAAGAGTTCGACCCAGCTGAGCAAACGCGTGCTGATGTCGAGATGGCGCAGCCGGCGCCTGTCGCCCTCCTCCAGCAGCTTGAGGAAGGTGCGCAGCAGGCTGCACGCTGCACTCAGCACCTGCTTCTTGTTTTCCAGCACGCGCTTGCCGGCGTATCGGTGCACGAAGAGGTCACACTGCTCCATCTGCATCAGCGTCCACGTGTCACGCTCTGGGTGGCCATCCTGTAGGAAGGCCAGTTGTTCCAGGCCCTGCAGCTGCTCCAGGTGCAGCGTCTCCTGCGGCCAGTGGCGCAGGAACGCCGCCAGGATCGCCTCGTTCTCGCGCGCCTTCTGCTGTGCCATGTGCCTGATCTCAGTACTCAGGTGGCGCATCGTCTGACAGTTGTAGAAGACGCTATTCTTGGCACGCACCACGTCCAGCACGGTGCGGCAGAGGTGCAGCAGCCGCGGCGGCGGCAGCTGGTAACAGGCGGCGCCACACACGTAGCTGTCCAGGGGTGCCTGGTCCAGCAGCACTGCCCAGCACAGCTCCTGCAGTGCGCATGGCTGGGCCAGAGGTGAGCTCATCCTGCCAGCTGGCCGGGAGTACTGATGGACCAGTTACATCTGCAACCTGATAGGTGACCACGTTGTGGGCTAGGGGGTGGAGTAATACACCTGTTCAAGGAAATGACAGAAGTGGTTAGGTGTTAGCATTGTGAACAAGTGTGTCATACCACAGTACCCATCTTCACTCCTGTATTATCGACCATAAGTATTACCAATCAGTGCACACCAACACTTTGTTTGCAAACACCACTAAAAGAGTGCTAAAAAGCATGCTAGCTGATTTGTATCTGACTATAATGAGAAAGTTGGATATAACCTGTAAAGGCATTTTCTTCCAGCTCATTTAGTTACTTTACAGCACAACACAGGCAAAGCCAATCATGACAGAATTTGACACTCTGAGCATGGCATTATGATCAAGTTATAGAAGGTCTACCTGTTGCTCATATCCTTAATGAGCTTTATAGTTGTACCCCACATAATGAAGATTTATTATTTATTTAAAATGGTTTCATTTCACTCTGGTGTGCTGATATCCTACTTTGCTTAAACTTACTTAAATATCTACAGTCAAGGCCATATAACATGGAAGCTTTGGATGCACAATCATTTAACAATAGGTTTGATGTTTAGGCTTGCATTGCCAAATGACAGGATTATTTGAAGCTAGGTACTTGTTGATGTCCTCAGCCATATGGTGCTGACTAATCAGTATCCTATCAACAATATCTTATTTTATATAAAATGATCAGGACAAAGCCCAGGGGGTGTAGACCACACAAGGAAACAAACCAGTTTACAAACATCTGTAAGTTGTTCTTCAGAGATGGGTTGATCCACACTTCTTATTTGAATCAGACAGGGAGCAGCGGTGTCATATTATCCAAACTATGAAAAAGTACTAGGAATGCTACTGGTACTAAAGCAAAGGAGGTACCAAGCTACCTACCTGCCCACCACTAAGAGGCAACGAGAAAATCCTAGGAAACTGTCTGTTCAACACAGAGCCTACAGGCTACAGGCAGCCTCCCACAGTTAATATTACACCATATATTTGCACCAAATCAATCATGGACTATCCACTTACCTCCAAGATCCGCTCCAATGCCGTCGTTCACGGGGCCGGCCCCAACCAATGCCATATAGCCCCAGCCATAGAAGACGCCACACCGGCCAACCCCCTGCACCTCGTGATGTTGATGAACTTCTTGTGCTGCCACCTATCGTACAAGGTACAAGTTTAAGCTACCAAACTGTTCGATGATTTCTGAAGCTGTCTTACAGCGACGGAAAGGTGGCGCTACTTCCTAGTGGTTGCATCGTTTTCCAATCCGTCGGACTCGGATCCCAGGTGATGCTAACAATCGTGCTAAGCGATCTTATATCAGAGTAAGTTTCCTTTTCAGCTGAGTGGGCTGAAACCCCCCACCCCCTCCCAACATGGGCTCGAGTTCCCTAACGTTGAGAAAAAAGAGATGCAAAGCCGGATAGAACTCGTTTTAGGCGTATTTGAGGGGGGGGGGGAGGAAGGGCATGTTTCATCGTATTTTACTGCTTAGCTCCTTCAACTTATTTAACTTAACTATGAATTGCCTAAAACTGACGGTAGCTTAAACTAGTGCCGGACCACATAACCACAATACCAGCGGCTCTGAAGGGCATGTGCATCGCAGTCCAATGCGTCGTTGCAACTCCGAACAATCCTTGTCAACAGATTATTCAAGCTACACACTGTCATCGCCGGTCTCCCAAGCTTTATTCCGGCCAGTCAAAGACGAGCAGTGTCGCGCAATTTTTGGGCTGCAATGCTCGGCGCGCATTTGTCTAGAGACGTGTCCACGAGTTCACCCAAGGGGGGGACACATCGGACAAGTAGGGATCTTTCAGTAAAGTGCCCCATTTTGGCGTTCCAACGCCTTTTTTATTTGCGGAACATTTTAAGGCTCGGAATCTCATTTTGACGTCTCGAAAGTCCATTGTTGTGTTGTTTATTTTTTAACCGCTGCGAACGTCTTTATGTGCCAAGAAATAGCGAAGCCTTTGTCCCCAGGAGCCCCTGCCTAAAGGGTACAGGGGGGGGGGGGAAATGGCCCCAAAAGCCGCTTGGCTACATTACTGAACTGGTCATTCCTTCCGACGCTTTATTATCTGAGCTTTAGAGACTTTGATAATTGAACAGCGCTGTATGCATTGCTGGCTGGAATCAACCCCCAAAAGAACCGTTTTCTCAGCAGGAAAAAGAGATCCTTACACAAAACCTTGGATCGAGGATAATGTGATATGATGTACCTGATTCATGACTAGCCAGGCTGGCCTACGAAACATATGTCTGGTTAGTAACTAACAGCACGTCCTGGGCGGTATGCTCCGAACAATGGGCCATTACCACAGAGATCTCCGGCAGCATAAAAGCAGCGTCAGTTTCCATCGGTTTGTCTTTCCTTCCTGCCTGAGTCGGAGCCGGAGCAGAGTGGCAAGATCCGGTGTCTGGACGCGGCCTCAGTCAGTTGGACGACTGTCCTCATTCGACGGGGATCGTGTGCGGACGCTGAGCTCGGTGGCCGTAGTCTCCTAGCGAGCTTTGATCTCCGGAACTCTGGTTCGCATTCAACCGATATTGCTAGGTGTAAAGGAGAAGCGCTGCAGACCAAAATCAAACGCCATGGAAGAAGAACGGGACCGTCTTCCGATGTTTATTAAGGCGGGAAGGTCTCTGTCATTTCGACTCAAGAGAAAAATGAGACGAGCTACGAGTCTAGCATCGTTTACGTCCCTAAAACGCAAAGGTTAGTGCTCCGTCATCGTAGCCTGGTGGCAACCCCATGGGTGGCGGATGAGTTGCTGCACTTGTGCGAATGACCTGTTTGCCGAATTTTCCGTAAGCTACGAACGAAACTACAGAGGCGCTATATATATATATATATATATATATATATATATATATATATATATATATATATATATATGTGTGTGTGTGTGTGTGTGTGTGTGTGTGTGTATTTATATCTCTCTTATAAAGAGACTACGGACGATGGGTGGAGTGGTTGTGATGTTGGGAAATGAATACGTTTAAAGTTCGTTATAAGTCACCTCAGCGTTGTTTTTGGACATGAAAACGCATGGATGCAATACGGTTGTAAAACTCCAGCGCCATTGTGTCCGAATGTCGATTAGTTTAAACTTCATAGAGATAAGACAATGTTGCTAGTATGATTCCCCATACAATAACCAGGAGAAAAGGAGATATAGATGTTTGATATTTCGGCTACGTGCCTGTATCAAAAGGAATATTATTAGCAAATTCAATTATTGCGCGAATATCAGTAAAATTTAGTGCTGATGTCCGTTTCGACACAGGTGTGTACCCAAAATGTTATTACATCCATTTCTCCTTCCTCCTGGTTATTATGCGAGGAATAAGACTAACAGTGTCGTCTTATCTGTATGCATGATGTGCCTCGCAAAAACACTTACCAGCTCATGTAGTTAGGTGCTGTCTTATCTATATGCATGATGTTCCTCGTACATGCACTTAACAACTTACGTAGTTTAGGCTGCGGTTGCCTCAGCTGCGGTTATGTATTTGCCTTGGCGTGTTGAGAGCCGTATCGTCGAGAATCTCCTAAGCGGAGGATGGTTTGGAAATGCGAAATGTTTGCGTTATGCGATCTTCATAGTCAGCTTACTACTGCTCTAAAATGGCGCAAGGGCCGTCTCAGTGTAAGGGCTCGCGGGCGAAATCACGCAAATTTCACCTGAAGTTCAAGATTTCATCCTGCTGTACCAGCTCAAATGAGCCCGCCAACGAGTTTGGTACCGTGTTTTAGAAGTTTCCACCTTGCCAACGCGCCGTATTGCCGCGTACTTGGTTGCAGTGGCCTTCGCCCAAACTTGCCTGCATTTACGTGCGAAAGCTAATAACTGTTTGCCTCACATTTCGAGGGTTGTGTTTGTGTAGTGCTTCGTATTTTGGTGAACTTCACGAACTACTTATTATTTGAACTATGTGTGTTATATGAACTACTATACGAACTACTTATTCCGTGCTTTTCAACGTCGCCGGTAAACAAATCAAGCGTGCGATATGAAACTTTTGTGTTTTAGAGCACCCGACCCATGCGCGAAAAAATAATGTACAACTCGAATGTGTCTCTCGGACAATGGTTCTCAGAGTATTCCGCTACTGGGTGGCTCACTTCAAAAGTCCAGGACGCTCAGTAAGCCCACAATGTTCGCAAAGCCCGAGGGGGATGCCACCAAGGAGACGAGTTGACGCGTCTCCCTGTAATCTTGAAATTTGACTCAACGTGCACATGTGGCATTGCACGAAGAGGAGGAATCTTCCCTCCATCCATAGATGCCCCCACCCTTTGTCCTCTCCAGCCGTCAGCTGGTAGTGCGCCCCCTGGGAATGACCGTTTTAATGGTATAGCATTATATGTATCCTGGCAATTATGACGACCTACTTTTGATACATTTGTTGCGCTTCCCCTGCTTCCTCGTGCCGTTCCTGAACAGCTCAACACTGGTCCCAAATCCCTAGCTGTAGCATGCTCCTATAATACAGCTTGAAATTTTTCTGAGATGCTTTCTCTCGCTGCAGATGATTTACCGTACAGCCCGCCTTCGCCGCCCGCGAGGCCTCCCAGTGAGGCGGGCTGTGACGGCCGTGTGCTGGCCAACCCGCTGTCCAGTCGCAGCTCCGAGGACAACGGCTCGGCCACGCAGCTGCAGCGTGAGTAGCGGACTTCATCGTTGCCCAAGGTTGACGTGCAACCAGTGTTCTGGCGGATGATCGCGCGATAATTCGGGGACATTCGTGTTAGGATTTTTGGATGCGTGCAATTTATGCATCCTGGCATGTTTTCACTTTTCATTCACCTCTTTGCACTAGGTAAGGTTTGTTATATACAGACTACGTTTTGGAAAAGACGGTTTATGAAATTCATTCACGTCAAGTCGATAAAATGGGCGATTTAAAAACCTGTATAGCCTTTGCACGACGTTACCTTCGTTTCTGTCGTTGCCTTTGTCATCATTTCCTCATCAATGTCAACACATTTCTTCATCAACAAGAAGCATGTGGAAAGCGATTGTGGAAGGTCGTCGTTTGTTTTACTTTTGGGGATGCCGCCGTCTTCGTCAACGTAGCGGTCAACAGTCCATTATGCTATTGCTTCCGCTTGCGCATGTACGTGGTGGCTGATCCGTTGCGACTCTCCGCACCAGATATGGGTCATACCGTGGGAGGAGCGTCCCGAGGTGTCAGCATGGTGGAGCTGGTCAAGACGGACTACAAGGTCGGCATAGTCGTCTCTGGTAAGTCTCTTTTTTATGTTTCCCGCGGCCAAGAGACAATCAGCCTCCGCCAATCGTCTTATGCCAATCTTATCGTAACAGGTTCCAGTAGGCGTCAGTGATGACACCACGGCACGGGCCGCGCTGACTTTGTCTGGAATCGCTGCATGGAAATATTGAACATTCGTGGTGGGCGTGGCGGACGGCATCAACTATTCAGCGACAGCTCCATTAATGGGAGTGTGAACCCGTCCGTCACTGGACCATGTTATATGTTGATTGGATCCACATGCTTTGCAAACACAGCTTTGTAATGAACCGCGCAACCAAGTAAACAATGTTTTCCTAGGCCAAAGTGCTCCGAAAAAGTCACTGTGCTTAACGCCGTAGGGAAGAGATCAAGATCATCGTACGGTGTTTATTTGAATTCACGTGATAAGAGCCTCTTGTTTACGTATCTTTTTCTCTCAATACGGTGTTCAAGCTCTCACACCATGTAATACACAAACATTTCTGCCGATTAGATGATTGCATTAATTCAGGAATGCAACACACAACAACACAACACAACATACAACAGTTCAACACACATTTTGAAAAAAATGATCCAAATGAAAAGCTCTGCGCTGATTATGGTTAACATGGGAGCCCAATTGGGATTTCTCCCGTCGGAGTGGCTGCTTAAGATCGGAATTCTGAGCTTTTCAGAAGGATTTCCAGAAAACTGTGAATTACCGACCAAATCAGACATATCTAGTATGCATAAGGCTGAAAAATGTAAAAACGAGGGATGCTTCCTTTGAGCGGAAGCCGAGTTGCGTGCTTGCCTTCGGTGGGGTACGTCTTTCGAAGGAAGCCAGCCACCTTGTTGTGCACTGTGCTCACGGCCACTTCAGGGCGCTTCAAACCCGTGCCAAAGCACCGCCTGCCTTTGATCTGAAGGACTGCCTCCATCCTACAATCGTTGCTCCACAGGGCGTGCTTGTAAAACCGTGCCAGTACTCGTGTCTGAGGAGCTGCAGTCGCTCTGCCGACGGCGGGCCCGGTAGGATGCAGAGTCTAGGGTCAGTGTCACTGTCAGTGTCAGTGTCAGTGTCGGTGTCGGTGTGTCAAGGGGCGGTGTGCTGCGGCAGCGGGGCACCAGGCAGCCGGCAACGCTGTGTGCCGTCCCGGGGCCGGCCCGCTAACAGGGCGCTCTGCCGCCGCCGGGTCCCTGGGCGGGCCGTGTTGGTCAGATCCAGGCCGTTTGACCAGGCAGGAGTATCCGGCCCGACAAGGGGCAACAAGGCTGGATGAAACGTAAACTTCATAAAGCTTACGTTATAAAGTAAGCTTCAGGCGGTCCACTGTGAGTTGGCGCGATGGGAGCAGGAGTTGCACCCATAGGACCGCCAGTCATCGACCTCGAGGATATTGCAAAAATTCCGTCACAAATCCACTTCTTTTGGGTATAAGCCGAACAAGGTTGGACGGAGAATACACGATTGTTATGCCATAATGCCACTCATCAGTGCATCCCAAAACGCGCGTTTTCATGACAAAATGGTTTGCAGATTTATCTACATTATGTCGTCATGCAGGACGTTAATGATTTGCATGACAAAACATTCAAGAAGACCCGAAATTTCTATCGAATGTACTCCCCCGGTGTCTAAACCGAACGGTAGTGACCGAGGGAATCATGCCCACCCTCGTGCCACCCCAACTCTGCTGACCAATTGCGAAAGCATTTCGGTTTCCAAAGCACCTTTGGTAGAAGCGATTTTGACGCACTTAACCGCAGAGCTGTGAGTTATACGACCGTTGATCCCGGCAAAGTTTGTGTGTTTTTGAAATTAATACTTATGCATCACAGAAAATGCCCGACCGAATACACAACAGACATCTAGCTGCCGACATCACCAATATCATACGTACGAATCAAACCAGCTATTTTCAGGGGATGCTGTTTCGTGAGTGCACGGGGTCTATGCCGGTCATGTTCCCTAAATTCTGCGGCATGGCTTCTTCGCAAAAAGATCGTTTTAGTGCATACATGACACACTTTGCTGCAAAACTCTATGGCTTAAGAAATCGAATGTTGTAATTTGAGGTTTATCTTGTAAAATAAGATGATCCGTTGTGTGGCCATGCCTGCGCCATGCTGGGGTAGGCGCCTGCCAACCTCACTGCCGAGCAATAAACCGTTTGATGGGCACATACCAATGGAGGAGATCTCGGCACGATGAGCAGCTATCTGGTGCATGACTTCCGTCCCAGTCCACGCAGCCGCAGGTCCCGACACGACTCCGCTCGTGCCACGGGAGTGCGTGCGAATAGTGCACCGCTTCGTCGACGGTGAACCAGGCGTGCCGCCGCGGGACTCCCCACTCGGGGCTCACCGGGTGGGGTGTGCTGACGGCGGCGCGGCTCTTGCGGGCGCTCGGCCTTCTCGGCCTCCGCCGTGGAGGAGCCAGGGTGAAGTGGCTAAGAGGCTCGTGCGGGGGTGCTAGGTGTGGGAGAGGCCGAGCTGGGCAGAGCTCGGTACGCTGAGACGATGGTCGGCTGTGGTGAGGGGATTGTTCTGCGCTTTCCTGGCTGATATTTGCGGTTCGCCTTGTGCGCGGTGTTCGGAGGGGTTGCGCCGTCAGGAGGTATTGCGCTCTTGGCTTGCGTTGTGCCGTGTGGAATTATATCCAGCAGCGGTCAAACTGGCATAGGTTTGTTCGGCACCTGGGTCGTGTCACTAATGTACTGGGGAAATAGTCAAACCACACCTGGGCTGCGCTTTTGTTTCCATCTTCGGTGGCCAAGGATTGGGGCGTCGCAGAGTTATCTACTTCCCAATCGCGATGCGCTGGACGGGTCTTATCTTCATGGCTGAGACTCGCGGGACGAAGTGGGCGTTGCGCGTGACCCAGTGGGCCTCGAGGTCACCCGTGTTGGGATTGCGCACCCCGTTGAGGTTTGTGTCCTCGGTTTTCTGTGAGTCCCACCAGCCACCGCCTTGACATTTACTCTGGAAGCCATGTGCAGTTTTGTCCCTCCTTGACGCTTGGTTGAGGCCGCATGCTACGAACTTCTGGCCGTGCTGTTTGTACAGGCCGTCACCGGCGGTGCCGCAATATTTCCCAACGGTGATCACGTAGTCCGCGCCGGAAATCCAGAAGCCGTCGTATTCGGCATACTGGTGCTCGTCCGCCCACATGTCTACGCGCAGTGTATGTAGGCCTCGCTCCGTGAGTGCAGCGATGGCGCGAAGTCCGAGCCAGTGCGAGTTGCCCGTCAGGCCGAAGCCCTCCTCATACTGCCTGAGACTGCGCGCGAAGACGACTTGGCTGTCGTTCCGGCGCTGCTGCAGCAGCGTCCAGCCTCCCCCATCCGTCTCCATGTCGCAGTGCACCGGAACGGCGGCCTCCCATCCACGCAGCGAGATCGCGTAGAGGCCGCTGACGTCGAACCCGGCGGCCTTGAGGGCGGCGCAGTCGGGCGGCAGGCCGCAGCCGCCGTCGGCCGTCGGCCAGCAGAACAGCTCGGGGCCGGCCAGACCGGCGCGCTCGAAGAAGCTCATGCCGTTGTCAAGCGCGGCCGCCGGCTGCAGCCGCCGCCGCTCGGCCAGAAAGCAGGCCACCTCGCCCGTATAGAGCGGCTGGGCGGCGGCGGCCTGGCAGCGGCGGTGGGCCAGGCACACGTGGCGGCACAGGCAGATCGAGGCGACCGTGGTGCGCCAGTACACGGCCCCGGGCGCCGGTGGCCACATCACCGGCGTTACGCTCGCCCGCGCGGCTCCGGCCGACTCATTCAGGATGGAGGGCTCTGCCAGCCGGCCGGCCCCGACCACCAGCAGGACCGCCACCAGGGGCCGCATGGTCCGGAGCGAGGCTGAGACTGATGGGGACGAGCGGAGGTTGGAGGGCGAGCTGGTATTGACTGGGGAGCGGAGTTTGGCAGAGGCGGGCCGAGACTGGCGGAGACGAGCAGAGACAGATCGAGACTGGGGCGGCTCAGCCAAGACTGGTGAGACCGAGCTCTGCTGATGGAAACGAACGAGGACTGGGTGGGCCGAACAGAGATCGGCGGTGCACGGCAGATAATGGCGGAGACTGACAGGTGCTCACTGACACACAGAGATTGCCCGAGTTGGGCAGACTAACGGAGACGAGCAGCGCGATTGATGAAGTTGGTTGGAGCCTGCCGGTGACGAGCGGTGATGGGCTGTGATGAGCACGGGCTAGCGGGAACGAACAGCGGCCCCCCGGGACGAGCGAAGACTGACCGTGACCAACGGAGGCTGATGGTAGCGAGGGTGCTGTCGCCGACGAGCCCAGCTCGTGCAGGACGACCGGTCGCTGCCGGCGGCGGCCGGTGATTGCCGGCAGAGGCTGCTGCGCTCCGGTGATGGGGCCCCAACGCTGTGTTGGTGACGGCCACCGCACCGCTCGACCGCCCCGCCAATGGCCAAGAATGGCGCAAAAGAATGGCGCTAAAGAATGGCGCTAACGAATGGCGTCTTTTCATCAGCAGTCATGAGATGGACTGTACGATTAGGCGATTAAAACACCGCTCGCAGACAATGGCTGCGCGGTCGGTCCTGCGGGTGCCACGTGACCAGTTTGTGCCGATCTTTATGGGCAGCATTGTGGTGCGGGGACCCATTATGACTCTGCTGCTGTTAGAACGTCACCGCGAAGGCTGCCAAAGTAAATCGCTACGCGATGGTAGGGAAATGTCCGTCAGTTTGTCCGCGCACATGATGGAAGCATTTGGTTGCCAAATGGCTGCCTGTTTCGCACAATGCGTTTAATGCGCCGGGATTATATCGTGCGCTGTTGCTGAGCAGGGCCTGGTCATTCAGCACTGAAATGTATTAAGGAAGGCGAAACACTGTGGTGAAAGGAATTAGCTGGCAACACGTCTATGACCAGCGGAATTTTGACACTCGAAATCGATGGAAACTGAACTGCATATTGAGGCGTGGGTAAGGTTTTCAGCCCACCTTTTCAGCTCATTCTGGAATGCAACACATTTTGTTATCAAGCGTGCGTCGCGCGACACTTGATGTTTTATATGACTGGTGCAGATACAAATCCACTCACGGTGGTCGAATCGCGCATGTGGAATGGAGTATTATATATGGGTATCACAATTACGATTTATTCACTCGCGTGTGTTGTGTGTATCGGACGCTGCACATGACCGTAGGCTATAAACTGCGCATCTGGTTACGCCACACTTTTGTTGAACGCGTCACACTTATCTACAGCTGCGACCGCTGACCACAGGATATGCTTTTTTCTCCCATCTTCGGTCTGATGACGCCGGCACTTTTTTTTAGAGAATCGCAACCCGGTGCATTTTGTTTGCGTGGTTGGATGCCTAGCACACAACTTGTTTTTGTCAGTTTTGTGGGAGATTGGCGTTAGTTTGGATTGGCGAGGGCCGTGATCACTACGCTCACAAAAGTTTAAGCGTGGCATGTGAACTCTCAAGGTCATGCTCATGACGCTCTTCGGTCTCTAGGGTGTCGTTTTTATCAAGCCGTCCGCACGGTCACAACATTGCAGGAGCTAGTGACCTGACAGTCCTGAGGAAGGTGCGGCATGCCGTCAGCAAGCGTCCCGATCTCCATGAGAGAGGTATACGTTGCTGCAAGACGACGCAACGCCGCATCAGAGGCGATTAGTCCGTGAGGTGCTGGACGCCTGGCGACGGGAAGTACTGGAGCACTCAGCCTGCCTCCCTGGCCTGCCCGCATGTCACTGCGCGCTTTCAAAAGTCGGGGGAGAGTCTCAGGGGTTGCCTGTTCGCCAGCAACGGGATCAGTGAAGTAGACAAGACTGCTCGTAAGCACGTAGCCAACGTGGAAGTCAGAGACTCGGAAGCGGGATTGATAGAGTAAGGAAAATGTGGCAGATGCGTGTGGAAGTCGAGGGTGGCTGAAGTAAAACAAAAATGCTTGGGGTGCTGATGTAATACGCCGCATCCTTGTAAGCTGCTTAGTTTTCGTGATATAAAACACCACAGCGAACTTGTGCAGTCAATGCATGTGGAGAACACGTAGACAAATATTCGGTCACTTGGGTGGTAGGGATCTAGATATTTACCCATGCTATACACCCCGGCTTGGGGCTCACTGTCTGCTCCCCTCACCTTGCTCAAAATCAGCCAGTCAGCATCAACCGGGCGGCTGTCACCCCAATATCTGAGCGCCTTGGGATTGGCAAATGGACTGGGCAGGTCAGATGCTTGGGTTCGGGGTCAAAGGGCAACGGATTGGTGCCAACGAAGTGTGTACGGGGTCCGCCGAAGAGCCAGGGTTCTTGTAGCATGAATTTATATTTACACCTTGCACACCCTACTCGATGGATTTTGGAACGCTGCGCGCAGGAATGCGTGTTGACGGCTAGTTTGCTTCAGACAGTGCGGGCGTGATTTCATGCACTTTCGCCATGGCAAACGCAGCAGCTGCGGCGTGCGCACTGCAATATCTCACCACCTGTGCTAATGTTAAATCTTCCTATTGGCAATCCCCCGGCCACACCCTAAGTCCGTTAATCATTTGTCAGTCCACTCAATCAAGAGCTGGAAATTTCACTTTTGTGGCGCCAAACCTGTGCGCAATCACTTGAGATTATTAACTTTGCAATAGAGTGGCTGACGAATTCTCAAGCACCCAGTTCTGTCATGGTCTGCAACGGTGCTCCGCGGCGCAATTACTTGCAGTGCACAATTCCTGGGATCGGGTCCGCCTACACGTCGTCCGTCTTCCCAGCCCCATGACCGCAGCTCCCAGCCCAGTGCCGGCCCCCTACCGGAGGTGCGTCGCACGGGGGCTGGCCCATCCTTACCTCGGCTGCGTCGAGGCTGGCCTACCTCAGCCTACCTACCTCCAGCCAGCCTACCCTACCTCAGCTGCGCCGGGGCTGGCCCGCCCCTGCCTCAGCTGCGCCGGGGCTGGCCCACCCCTACCTCAGCTGCGCAGGGGCTGGCCCACCCCTACCTCAGCTGCGCCGAGGCTGACCCACCCCTACCTCAGCTGCGCCGAGGCTGGCCCGCCCTTACCTCAGCTGCGCCGAGGCTGGCCCACCCCTACCTCAGCTGCGCCGGGCTGGCCCGCCCCTACCTCAGCTGCGCCGAGGCTGGCCCGCCCCTACCTCAGCTGTGCCGAGGCTGGCCCGCCCTTACCTCAGCTGCGCCGAGGCTGGCCCACCCCTACCTCAGCTGCGCCGAGGCTGGCCCACCCCTACCTCAGCTGCGCAGAGGCTGGCCCACCCCTACCTCAGCTGCGCCGAGGCTGGCCCGCCCTTACCTCAGCTGCGCCGAGGCTGGCCCACCCCTACCTCAGCTGCGCCGAGGCTGGCCCGCCCTTACCTCAGCTGCGCCGAGGCTGGCCCGCCCCTACCTCAGCTGCGCCGGGGCTGGCCCGCCCCTACCCCAGCCGCTGCCAGGGCGTTCGTCAACCCGGCCCCAGTGCTGTCCCCCTACCGGAGGTGCGCCTCACGGGGGCTGGCCCGTCCTTACCTCAGCTGCGCCGGGGCTGGCCAGCCCCTACCTCAGCTGCGCCGAGGCTGGCTCACCCCTACCCCAGCCGCTCCCAGAGCGTCTGCCAGCCCGGCCCCAGTGTTGGCCCGCTACCGAGGGTGCGCCGCGCAGGGGCTGGCCCGTCCCTGTCTCAGCCGCCGCCAGAGTGCCTGCCAGCCCGGCGCCGCGCTGCTGCTGAAGCTCGCTGGCGGACGGGGCAGCGAAGTCGTCACCGATGCGTGCGCGCGGCCCCATTGTCTCCCATGCCAGTGGCAGATGGCTGTCGGTGGACATGCGTCGCGATGTGTGCGCATCTTCACCACGATCCTCGGGCCGGTGACTGCCCAGTTCAGTTCGTCAGGCGAGCGCTCCGGCAGTGCGGGAACGATCCGCCACATCGCGCCGAGTGCGGCCACCGGTCGGCCACATAACGGCCAACGTTGCAATGTTTGCAGACGCTGTCTATTAAAGCGGGTGGTGGCAGCAAACGGGCAGAGTTGATTTGAAGTGTTTTTAATTGTTGAGTGGCTGAGAGAAAATATCGCCGGGGTGCGGGCGGCCACGTGTAGAGCGGCATCTCTTGAGCAGCACACTTAATCTGTGGAGGGAATTCCCAGGTGCGCCTAGGCCGGTAATTTCAACTGTGATTTACTGGCGCCGTTAATCAGGCTGGGGTGAGCGCTTCAGAAACTCGAGCAGGTTCATTTATTGTCAGCAATGGGATCCTGGCAGACTGACTTGCAGAATCGCTGCTGCCAGTCCGTTGGCAGTCTCGCCGATGTTCTGGCCCAGCATCGCGCAGGCGTGGTCGCGGGTTCTGTGACTGGGCCGGTTGGCCACTGGCTGGGGACAGGTAACGTAACGTACAGGTAACGCAAAGTGACAATGTCGCTTTGTGTTACCTGTACAGTGAAATGACACTTATTTTCGCGGGCGAGGGGGCGCGTAACTGTGTCATCGGCAACTACCTTAAGACTCGGTCCAGGTGATGAATGTTACCAGGAGATTTCTGCCAAGGAGGCACAGCTTGTCGAAGCGCTGTAATAGGTTCAGACGTTGCCATAATATAATCGCCTGCCGCGGCCGTATATGGCATGCGCCACACGTTGTGGGGACAGTCTCTGGAGCTGTTGCACCTGGCCGGCATTGGCAGTGTTCGGTTTTGAAAATAGACATCAGGTGAGCGGGCCTTATCCTCCCAGCACCGAAGCTACACGGATAACAGGGCTGGTTCCGGACTGGCGCATGGAGTACGTAATAGAGAGTTTCAAATTATCCGTTGTAGGGATGTAGCTTTTTTAACATGAACAACTGTCCAGAGAAAGGTCAACGACCAAGAAATCCCGCCTCTTTTTGGAATAAGGAGACGGCATTTCTCTGCACTCGCGCAAGAACGTAACCTCGGGCCTCGCAACCGCCCTTGCACCAATCATCCTCCTGGCCGAGACGGCGGGCGCCGGCCGATCGGAGATGAGTAACTCGCCAGTGTTTTATAGCCGCCGGCCTCTCCGGTCGCCGCCGCCGACGAGCTGTGGACGGGTCGGCGGTATTCTGAAACACGGGCGTCGGTCGGAGGAGCGGCACCGACTGGGCCGGCACCCAGGCGATGACGGCCGTAATGAATGGGCCGGTCAATCCCTGCAGAGCACCGCCCAGGCCCTGCTGACAAGCGCGTGATGAAGGACAGTGGATTGGATGCCATGGCGCGCCGGTCAGGCTCGGATCTGCGGCGCGGGCGCTGCACCGCGGTTGGCAGCGCTTCTGATTCGCTGATCCGCGGAAGGCGGTCGCGCGTCATGAACGATGCGGGGATTTATGCCCGCGCGGTGCTTTCATAACAACCGCGACAGGGTCATTTCGCTCGTCTGCAGACCCGTTGAAAAACATCGCCGCTCTGTGTAAACTGCCGCGGCCCGCCACGGCTCCGACCCCGACCTTTACGAGCCGCCCATGGCAGCCGCCTGCGCCGCCATCACGCAGCCGGTGAGCGGCTCCTGTCATCACATCGACGCGCGATGGGTGCTTTTAGCGGGCGACTGTTGACTCGCGCGGTCGGCGGCGGCGGCGGCGGCGGCTAACCGGACCGGACGCCGGCTGGCGGCGGCCCCGGCGCGCCAGCTGGCAGGGCACGACCGGGGCCGGTCGGGCCGGCGCACGGGCGCAGTGCGGCCGGCAGCGGCCACCGCCGCCGCCATGCGCCGCGCCCCGTGCTGCGCGTGCTGTGGCCGGCGGCGCCGCCGCCGCGGCCGGCGCGCCGTCCCGCCCGGAGCCGACGGTGAGTGGCCGGCGGACGGCCGCTGTCGTGTGGGAGTCGGTGCGCGGTGGTGGCATGGCTGTGCTGGTGAGTACCTGAGTGGTTGCGACCGGCAGTGAGACGTCTGGCGACACTCCTGGATGGCTGTGCGTGGCCTGGCGCAGGTCTCGATGGAGGGCGTGACATGCGTGCTCGTCCGTCCAGTTGATTCCGACCCTTGAACATCTGCACAGATGTTCATTCAGAGTCGTCTGTGCCTCCTCAAGACATCGGCCCGCCGACAGAGCCGGCAGATTGACTGTTCCGTCTGCAGGGCCGCCGCGCCGCCCCGCTGGCTGTGTTTTGTCACCTGTCTGCACTGCCTCTCCAGCCGCCGGGCGATGCGGCCCAGCTCTGCCACTTGCCGCGCCCGTGCCGCCGGCCGAGGGCGCCCGAGCTTATTTCCAGACGGGCAACAGTCCCCAGTTGTTCTAGCGCGCCAGCAGTGCTGGTGGCGGGCGGCCTCCAACGAGCGCTCCGCCTCGGAGGTCAACTGTCGCTTTTGTTCTTGGTGACTTTCTTCTCATCGTTATTCACTCAGCAAGCCGTCGCGCACTGAGGACGAGCAAGCCGACTTTCTCTGTATTTGGTGTCGGCAAATGCTGAATATATCAAATAAGGCGTACCTAAAAGATAAGATAAGTGTACTCGCGGTGATCGTAGAATATCGCCGACGGACCCCTCGCCTATTTCCGACTGGGCTTCCGTTGCAGAACCGGCGCCGTGTGTGTGCCATGGGCAGCACGGTCCGATTATTTATCGACGCACTGCCGCTGTCTGGCCATTAGCGTCAAAGGCTGCCGCCGGATGCTGCGATGGGTCCGGTGAAATGTTTGGACCATGTGTACGGCACACTACTGACGCAGCCAGGACCAGCTCGGGTGAGCACTCCCTGTGTCTGTCGTGTCAGACCAGGCTCGGTTCGGCCGCACTTCGGACGTGTTTTGTACTGGATCAGCCTGGTTGCCGGCTTTCCGCGCCTCTCTCCGCCCTCGAGTGGGTCGCCGCCCAGCATCAGAGCATGGCCATCATTGAGCTGCAGGGAGGTTTGATTGCCGCATGAGATTGGTTCTCTGCGTCCAGTGGCTGTGAGCAATGAGCTGGCCGCCTCGTCATGAACAGGACCTCGTGTAGGGCGCTGGGGAGATTTCAGTGCCCACGGTGATCTCGCCCCGCCGCGCACCCGCCGCCGGCGGTGTCAGTGTGGCCCGGCTCGGGACGCGCACGTGGCCGGCGTGCGCGCCGCGGCTGACGGCGAGGAATCACGTGGTTTGGCAGCGAGCGCGCGCCACGTGGTTGACACACGTGCGGACTTCTATCAGGCTAACGGCGGACGAGCGACTGTATCAGCCCGTTTTCGAATAGCCGGCGACACCTCAGCTGTCGGCTTTGTTAGTGCTGTAAACCGACGAGATAGGGCGCAAATACAGGGTGTCGGAGGGCAAACAGGCCTATCTGAATGACATTCCACGCGGTCGCGCGCGTTGTCGCGTGCTGTGTGACGTCATGTAAGGCTCATGCCTTCCAGTGCGGTAATGTGAGAACAATAGTGGTTCTTCAGTGTCAGGAAGTGATTGTCGCCTCGACAGGAGAGCGCACGCATCTTGTGTCGCTAATAAGCATGTCTATAGCAAAGTTTGCCACAACGTAGCGTGCATGTCAACGTAGAGGCACGGCGGGACACGGTGCGGAGTGCTCGGCGGCAGGCGCTGCTGGCCTGCGTCAGCGGTCTTACCTCGGTGGAAGGGCTGGGGACGGGCTCCGCCGGCCGGACCGGCGGGGCTGCACGCCACCGGCCTCGGCATATTCCAGCCCACCTGCCCCACACCTGCCGGCCAACGGCCACGTCCTGCACATTGACCCGGCACGGTCGCTGCAGCTGCCACCCACCGGCGAACATCAGGCAGCTCTGAAATCGGCGCGTTTTGGTGTGATATTGGACGGGTCTTCGCTGTTCCGAGGCATTTTCGTCGGAATGCTTACGCGTTGTTCTGTGGAATTTTGTAACGCGGTCAAAGTAATTAGTAATTTAGAGAATGGATTGCACCACTATGCGCACTTCCTGTGCGAATGCAGTGTTACTCTGTACGGGGACATTGTTCGCCTATTGTTCTTTCGTTTGCGCCAAGCTTGCGTCATCGCGTTCACACCGACTTACAATGTTACGACACGGTGGCCTTAGCTCGACCCCAGGTGGAAGACACCTGTGTCCACTGACCGACGAGCGGTCTTAGGAACTGAGACCAGTACAGCTGACGTGCACCTTTTGCCAAGTGATACATTCATTGCTGAATGGCCGGCGCTGGCTGGAGGTAACGGCCCCCAGGGGTGTGCGTTTGGCCAACAAGCAACGCATTCTGACGACGGTCCTGTTTGTGTTGGAGGAATCTTTTCAGTACAGCCTGGCTTTGATGACAGGATTTCCGCCTGCGCCTCCAGCGAGCAGCCCTGGGCGAGTTTTTATGATGTTTTCCCAGCCCTTTTTCCGGGTTAAACGTGCCCGAGAGACTCATCTCCATTGGCCGTTTATTTCTTCTCGGGCTGACGCTGTCCCCGGGGACACGGCCGCAGTAACGCCACAGAGTCATCGTCCCACCTCCAGCCCCCTCCCGTTGTGTTTGTGTTACCACAGGGAGGCCGGGGCCGACCCCGCCTACTCAGTCCGTTGATGGTCGGCGGCGGGGGCTCGCGACCGTCGCCGGCGCGGCGCTCCGGTCCGCGAGGCCCGCCGATGGCGACTGAGGCCTCCGGCAGTGGGACGTCGTGCACCACGTGCGCCAGCTGAGCGTATGACGCTGACGGGAATATGCTGTCGAGGGCAGTTTGTCAGATGAACTGGGCAGGCTAACGCGTCCCGGAAACTGGGCCGTCGGCGGGATTGTTAAAGCGGAGGGGAGACGTGGTGCTGGGAGAGCGTTTGCTGTAGACAACTGCAAGCCATAGCAACGCATGGCGGGGAGGGCGTGACAGCTCTCTCACTTCGGCATTCGCGTGTTGGTGCTGCTGTCAAACAGTCAAAACATGCACGCTACGCCAGCTCGCATTTAATTGAAAATGTGGTTGATAACTACCTTAAAAAGAGCATTGCATTAAAGCGTTTCTTGAGCCCGCACGCACGTGGATACATCATGGGGTATCCTGATGACTGACGGTGTTGAGGGTCGTCAGTAAGGCTGGTTGTTTCACACCAGTCCGGCCACGGAAAGTGAGTGACACGTGCGTGTGCGTCAACGCCGTATCCCTTCCTAGAAAGCAACGCAAGCAAGCATCTTCTGAGCAACTCTCTGTCATTCGCTTGCGCTTCTGTTTAACCCCTCCGCCGCTAATCCCACCAGTGCACGGCGCGGCTTGGCCACCCCGTCCCCGGACGTTCCCATTACGTCACGCTGCCGTAAGCGCCACACGCACGGCCCGGCCACACCGTGAGTGCCTCTCACGCGTGTCGGCGGCGGCCCGCTCGCCGGCCGCGCTGCCAAACGCCACCCGAAATAAAGTATGCTCG